AGCCACTATTACGCAATGCGTTTCGGGCAAGAAAAACATTAATATCAAGAACTTAATACTAATTGAGCATAAAGAATAAAAGATGTTGAGAACAAATACAAATAAAGATAAAAAAAAGGGGGAACATGACTGAAAAAGCAGCACAAATACAATAGGTTGACAAACAGTGTTGATTAAAAAAAAAGAAAAAAAAAAGAAAATAAAAAGAAAATAACAGACATGGGTTGACAATAGAGGAGTGAGGTAGATTACAGGGAATTTATTAGGTAGTGTTTAGTTTTTATCTTAAACTGGTTGAGAGAGGTACAGTCTTTAACATGGTTGGGAAGGTCATTCCACATTCTGGGCCCCTTGATTTGCAGAGCATTTCTAGTTTGATTAAGACGTACTCTAGGAATATCAAAACTGTATTTATTTCTGGTGTGGTGCTCATGGGTTCTGTTACAACCTTCTATGAAGCTTTTAAGATCAGGATTGGCATTATAGTTTAGCGTTTTATATATGTATAATACACATGAGAGAATGTGCAGTGACTTAATATCTAACATATTAAGAGATTTGAGTAGGGGTACCGAGTGATGTCTGGGGCCAGAGTTGGATATTGTTCTAATAGCGGCTTTGTGTTGGGTAATTAGAGGACGTAAGTGATTTTGGGTAGTAGAACCCCAAGCACAAATACCATAGTTGAGATAAGGATAGATAAGGGAGTAATAGAGAGTCACCAGAGCAGGGCGTGGTACATAATATCTGATCTTAGAAAGAATGCCCACAGTTTTTGAAACTTTTTTTGATATATTTAGAATGTGTCCCTGGAAATTCAGCTTGTGGTCAATGAGAATGCCAAGGAATTTGCCATCTAATTTGTTACAAATTTGGGTATTGTTTATTTTGAGATTTATAAGACTAGAGGATTTATTGCCAAACAGAATATAGAAGGTTTTGTCAATGTTAAGGGTGAGTTTGTTGGCAGTTAGCCAAAGATGGACTTTATTTAGCTCAGTATTTACTGTGGCATTTAGAGCAAGAGGGTCAGGACTGGAGTAAATGAAGGTTGTGTCGTCAGCAAATAGAATTGGTTTGAGGTGTTGGGAGGCATTTGGAAGGTCATTAATGTAGATGAGAAAGAGGAGAGGGCCAAGTATGCTGCCCTGAGGAACACCAATGTTGATGGGTAGGGTGGGAGAAATTGTATTATTCACAGAAACATATTGGAGCCTGTCAGTAAGGTAGGACTCGAGGTATTGTAGGGAGTCTCCTCTGACTCCATAATGATGTAATTTAAGAAGAAGGTTATGGTGGTTGACAGTATCAAAAGCTTTACGCAGGTCCACAAATAACCCAACAGGGAACTCCTTTTTATCAAGAGCTGTATGAATCGAGTTAAGCATACTAATAAGTGCATCGTTAGTGCTTTTTTTGGGTCTGAAGCCATATTGGCAAGGGCTAAGTATATTGAGTTTGGCTAGATATGAGTAAAGCTGCTTGTATATAAGTTTTTCAAAAATTTTTGACAAGTTTGGCAGGATTGATATAGGTCTGTAGTTGTTAACATCTGTGGGGTCACCACATTTGTGGACAGGCGTTACTCTCGCTTTTTTTAGAATATCTGGAAAGGTTTGGAGTTCAAGTGACTTGTTGAAGAGCAAAGCAATAGCATCTAGTCAAACACAATATACTTAGCTCTTGTTAATATGGCTTCAGACCCCAAAAAAGCACTAACGATGCACTTATTTGTATGATTAACTTGATACATGCAGCTCTTGACAAAAATGAGTTCCCTATTGGGTTATTTGTGGACCTGCGTAAGGCTTTTGACACTGTCAACCACCAAAACCTTCTTCTTAAATTACAACATTATGGAGTCAGAGGTCACTCCATGCAGTACCTTAAGTCTTACCTTACTGACAGGCTCCAGTATGTTTCTGTGAATAATTCAATTTCTCCCACCCTACCCATCAACATTGGTGTTCCCCAGGGCAGCATACTTGGCCCTCTCCTCTTTCTCATCTACATTAATGACCTCCCAAATGCCTCCCAACATCTCAAACCAATTCTATTTGCTGACGACACGACCTTCATTTACTCCAGTCCTGACACCCTTGCTCTAAATGTCACAGTGAATACTGAGCTAAATAAAGTCCATCACTGGCTAATTGCCAACAAACTCACCCTCAATATTGACAAAACTTTCTATATTTTGTTTGGCAATAAATCCTCAAATCAAATAAATCTCAGGATTAACAATACCCAAATTTGTAACAAAGTAGATGGCAAATTCCTTAGCGTTCTCATTGACCGCAAGCTGAATTTCCAGGGACACATTCTAAATATTTAAAAAAAAGTTTCAAAAACTGTTGGCATTCTTTCTAAGATCAGATATTATGTACCTCGCCCTGCCCTGGTGACACTCTATTACTCTCTCATCTATCCTTATCTCAACTATGGTATTTGTGCTTGGGGTTCTACTACCCAAAATCATTTACGTCCTCTAATTACTCAACACAAAGCTGCTATTAGGACAATATCAAACTCTGGCCCCAGACATCACTCGGTACCCTTACTCAAATCTCTGAATATGTTAGATATTAAGTCACTGCACATCCTCTCATGTGTATTTTATATATATAAAACGCTGAACTGTAATATCAATCCTGACCTTAAAAGCTTCCTAGAAGGTTGTAACAGATCCCATGAGCACCACACCAGAAACAAATACCTATTTGATATTCGAAGAGTACGACGTAGTCAAACTTGAAATGCTTTTCAAATCAAATCAAATCAAATGTTTATTTAGGTAAGGTACATACATACAAGAGATTTTACAAAGAGTGATGGATTTATAGATAGGGCTAGTACATACAATGCCTAAAGCCACTATTACGCAAAGCGTTTCGGACATGAAAAACTTAAATGACTAAAGCTTAATACTAATTGAGCATAAAGAATAAAATGAGTTGAGAACAAATAAAAAAAAGAGATAAAAAGGGGTGAACATGGCTGAAAAAGCAGCACAAATACAATTTGGTCGACAAACAGCGCTCCTTAAAAAAAAAAACAGACATTGGTTGACAATAGAGGGGTAAGGTGAGTTACAGGGAATTTATTAGGTATAGCTTCGTTTTTATCTTAAACTGGTTGAGAGAGGTACAGTCTTTAACATGGTTGGGAAGGTCATTCCACATTCTGGGCCCCTTGATTTGAAGAGCATTTCTAGTTTGATTAAGTCGTACTCTAGGAATATCAAAACTGTATTTATTTCTGGTGTGGTGTTCATGGGGTCTGTTACAACCTTCTATGAAGCTTTTGAGGTCAGGATTGGCATTACAGTTCAGCGTTTTATATATGTATAATACACATGAGAGAATGTGCAGTGACTTAATATCTAACATATTCAGAGATTTGAGTAGGGGTACCGAGTGATGTCTGGGGCCAGAGTTGGATATTGTCCTAATAGCAGCTTTGTGTTGAGTAATTAGAGGATGTAAATGATTTTGGGTAGTAGAACCCCAAGCACAAATACCATAGTTGAGATATGGATAGATATAGATACTAAGTACCACCTAATTAACTCAATGTAACCTACCTCACCCCTAAATGTCAACCCACGTCTGTTATTTTTAAACAATGCTGTTTGTCGACCAAATTATATTTTTGCTTTTTACTGCCATGTCCCCCCCCCCCCTTTTTTATTTTTTCTGATTTTTTCTCAACACTATTTATACTTTAATCTAAGTTAGTATTAAGTTTTAGTCTATAATGTTTTTCCTGCCCGAAACGCTTTGCTTAATAGTGGCTTTAGGCATTGTATGTAATAGTTCTATCTATAAATCCATCAACTTTTGTATTTTACCTTGTATGTATGTACCTTACCTGAATAAATATTTGTATTTGTATTTATTTGTAATATTTAACTAAGAAAGTATCTAAAACAGTTGGCATACTCTCCAAAATAAGATACAGTATTATGGTCCTAACTCTGCTCTCCTCTCACTATATTATGCACTAATCTATCCCTATCTTAATTATGGTATATGTGCATGGGGGTTTACCACTGCAAACCACCTTAAGCCCATCATCACACAGCAAAAATCTGCTATCAGAATAATAACTAACTCTGCTATCAGACAACACTCAGCTCCCTTGTTTAAATCCCTAAACTTGCTAAATATTAACTCCCTCCACAAATTCTCTTGTGTCAACTACATTTACAAAACCCTGTTCTTAAATGCAAATCCTGCTGCAAACATATAAATTTTGACACTAGCTCTCCACATATGTCAGTTGCTTAATTTAGAACCTGTACTTGAGGTCGATCTCGAACCCATTGTTGATGTGATGACTTATATTGAATTTTGTAACTAGCTCATCAAGATTGTAACTTGCTTAGCTAAATGAATTGTGGGGTTCAGTCCCTGAGCCCATTATGTGCCTCTGTAACCATTTCCACTACCGCCCACAAGATGGGTATGGGGTGCATAATAAATGAACTAAACTAAACTATAGTTTTTTTCATTGTTGCTTTAAAATTGCACTGTATCTATTGCTACCCAATCTCCCAATCTTTATGTACCCAATCCGAACATCTTTACCATTATGATCACTGCTGTCTTCTTATATGTGCTATCAAATTAATCTTGTTTAAATTACCAATCAAGCTGTCAATGTAATCAATCAGAGCTTTAATATACCAATGTGCTTTAATATACTTACTAATCTCTCTCATCTCATTATTTTTCTTGCAATGTATTTGTTATCATTTTATTAATTCTGCTAGAATTTACCTACTTAAAATTATCTGTTAGATTAAGGACCTGCCCGAAACCCTGCGCGTACTAGTGGCTTTACAAGATTGTAAATACCATGCTATGTATTCTCACATACCCAATGTACCTTCTTGTATATAAATAAATAAATAAATAAACAAATAAATACATAAATAAATGTATGTATGTATGTATGTATTAGTGGGGAGCGCAGAGATTGCGAGGGAGAAACAAAAGAGGAGAGTGTTGTGTTGTGAAGGAGGGAGTCATCGTGGAGCTGCTGGTGGTGGTGGAGCTGCTCGCCTCACACCATGACCCTCACACTCTGACCCTCACACTCTGACTACCTCACACTCGTCACCTTACATCATGGAGCACAGTGCCATTGACGCCTGCATAGAGGAGTGGGAGACTCTCAGCAACGAGTACAGAGCACTGGAGGTAGGTCGAGGGGCCCACTGGGCACTGGAGGTAGGTCGAGGGGCCCACTGGGCACTGGAGGTAGGTCGAGGGGCCCACTGGGCACTGGAGGTAGGTCGAGGGGCCCACTGGGCACTGGAGGTAGGTCGAGGGGCCCACTGGGCACTGGAGGTAGGTCGAGGGGCCCACTGGGCACTGGAGGTAGGTCGAGGGGCCCACTGGGCACTGGAGGTAGGTCGAGGGGCCCACTGGGCACTGGAGGTAGGTCGAGGGGCCCACTGGGCACTGGAGGTAGGTCGAGGGGCCCACTGGGCACTGGAGGTAGGTCGAGGGGCCCACTGGGCACTGGAGGTAGGTCGAGGGGCCCACTGGGCACTGGAGGTAGGTCGAGGGGCCCACTGGGCACTGGAGGTAGGTCGAGGGGCCCACTGGGCACTGGAGGTAGGTCGAGGGGCCCACTGGGCACTGGAGGTAGGTCGAGGGGCCCACTGGGCACTGGAGGTAGGTCGAGGGGCCCACTGGGCACTGGAGGTAGGTCGAGGGGCCCACTGGGCACTGGAGGTAGGTCGAGGGGCCCACTGGGCACTGGAGGTAGGTCGAGGGGCCCACTGGGCACTGGAGGTAGGTCGAGGGGCCCACTGGGCACTGGAGGTAGGTCGAGGGGCCCACTGGGCACTGGAGGTAGGTCGAGGGGCCCACTGGGCACTGTGTAACACCGTAAGGTGTTTGGTTTAGTTTTATTTAAAAATACATAAGAGATACACGAGTCACAGACAAGGATTTGAGAGGTGCCAGTTTGGTCGGCCTGAGTCTCGCACCTCTAAGCGTTAATGACCTCAAGTGACCTGAGGTCAGATCAAGCGAATTCCACCTTGCTTCTGCTAATCTGATAATTGGCCTTGAAATATGCCGACGTTTAAGGAGTGGCTTGGTAGAGTGCCTGAGGCTGAGTTAGTTTCTAGGTTCCCCAATATATACTCGGAGAGCAGAGCATAGAGGAAGCAATAGGAGACGAGACAGCAGAGCAGATAAGACGGCCTAGAAAGGGAAGCTGTCAGCCGGCAGGGCAGGACAGTCTCTGTCAACTACAGACCCCCTCCCTCTGTCCAGCTATAGGCAGACACTTGGCGAGTTGAACATTAAGGTGACTTAGTCGTGTTACAACTGTTGTGTGAGGATCAGGGGCAGTCCAGTTGTAGGGTTCTCGAATTCTTGGATGATGACTCGCTTTGCATATTAAACTTGAATAATTGAATTGCTTAAATTATGATACTTATGTTAAATATAACATAAATATAAATATAACATAAGTATCATAATTTAAGCAATTCAATTATTCAAGTTTAATATGCAAAGCGAGTCATCATCCAAGAATTCGAGAACCCTACAACTGGACTGCCCCTGATCCTCGCACAACAGTTGTAACACGACTAAGTCACCTTAATGTTCAACTCGCCAAGTGTCTGCCTATAGCTGGACAGAGGGAGGGGGTCTGTAGTTGACAGAGACTGTCCTGCCCTGCCGGCTGACAGCTTCCCTTTCTAGGCCGTCTTATCTGCTCTGCTGTCTCGTCTCCTATTGCTTCCTCTATGCTCTGCTCTCCGAGTATATATTGGGGAACCTAGTAACTAACTCCGCCCACAAGTAGATAGCCTCAGGCACTCTACCAAGCCACTCCTTAAATGTCGGCATGTTTGAAGGCCAATTATCAGATTAGCAGAAGCAAGGTGGAATTTGCATGATCTGACCTCGGGTCACTTGAGGTCATTAACGCTTAGAGGTGTGAGACTCAGGCCGACCAAACTGGCACCTCTCAAATCCTTGTCTGTGACTCGTGTATCTCTTATGTATTTTTAAATAAAACTAAACCAAACACCTTATGGTGTTACAACTAAGAGGTAGGTCGAGGGGCCCACTGGAAGTAGGTCACTTCTGATGGTTTTTCTGCCGAGTTCTCTTGGTTTAGCTCTCTGCGCCATTCAAGTTCAGGACCTATTCCCATCGGCGTGGTCTTGGCATCTTCCTGTGTACGTGGCACTGTTCCTAGACTGCGAGGCTCTCGCAGTGGACGCTTTTCGGCAGGACTGGTAGAGATGAGGGTTCCTGTACCTTTTTCACTCTGTCCAGCTGTTGCTGTGGGTTCTGGCACAGTTGGAATCCTTCCGATAGTGGACAATGCTCCTGGCCCCATATTGGTGGGCCCAACCTTGGTTTAGGGGCTGCTTGTTCGATGTTAAAACCTGGGCACTTTTTTGCAGCTCCACCTTTTTCAGCAAGTCAGGCGGGTGAGGTACTGTACCTCGCTGGTTTGACCTTCTGCGCTATATGCGTCTGGTCTTTCTAATGCATGTGCATCACCATTTGTATGGTGATCAGGTGACTAATTTGGTGTCCCACCTGCAGTCTTCTCAGCATCGTTATGGAGTTTCTTGGCGGGCTTTCCACCATTTTATTTTTTTTCTTAATGTTTTGTTTATATCGGATAAGGTTGTTTTGTCCTTTCCATCGTGGCTTTTTTTTCTGGATCAGCATCTCATGTTGAATACTGTTGCTTCTTATCGTAATTAGCAAAGTGTAGTTACATAATGAGAGCTACGCTCTCATTTTAAGTGCAAACTAACATTAATAACGGTAGTACTGTACTCTAAACAACAAGCGAGAAGGGTTATTCAATAAACTCAATTTTAATAATAAAAGGATAGACTGGGAGGAAATAAACAGGGAACTTGCAAACATTCAATGGGAAAATGTTCTAAGAAATAAAAATCTTACACAAGGAATAGAAAAACTGACATCTGAAACATATGAAGTCTGTCTGAAATATGTTCCTTTGAGGAAAGCCAGAAAGAGGTTCAATGTAGAAAGAGAACGCAGACGACATTACAAAAGAAGGAAGAAATTAATGGAAATGATTAAGCAGACATGACTTTCCATACAAAGAAGGAATAATTTAAACAGGGAGATTGAAGAAATTGAACAGAGACTGAAGCATTCGTATCAGACTGAAGAAAGGCAACTGGAACAGAAAGCATTTCAAGAAATAATGGAAAAACCCAAAATATTTCTTCACATACGCTAAATCAAAAGCAAAAACCACTGCCAGAATTGGACCTATTCGTATTAGTGAAGGCTCATACACTGAGGATGACGAAGAAATTAGCGAAATCCTGAAAAAGCAGTACGAGGACATGTTTAGCACTCCGATAAACAGCATGAAAGCGGAAGATCCGGACAACTTCTTCATGCATGATATCCAAACACCTGTAAAAATGTATAACTGATTTTTTTTTTTTTTTGTTCTTTGGGCAGGGATATTCCTGCATGGGCCCTAAGCCTCTGGCTGGCCTATTAAGTGTTGAGGAACTGATATCAACACAAGCATAACAGATTTTGAAAGAGAAATTGACAATATGTCCATGCACTCAGCCCCAGGTCCAGACTAACGGAATTCAATATTCATAAAGAAATGCAAAGTGCCAGTAGCACAGGCCCTCGGTATAGTGTGGAGGAAGAGCTTGGACACGGGGGAGATACCAGATGCACTTAAAGCAGCAGGCATAGCCGCTCTACACAAGGGAGGGAGCAAAGCATTGGCAAGGAATTATAGACCAGTTGCACTAACATCCCACATAATAAAAGTATTTGAGAGAGTGATCAGGAGTCAGGTCACTAGATTCATATAAACAAATGGCCTCCACAATCCAGGCCAACATGGATTTAGAGCGGGAAGATCCTGTCTCTCTCAGCTACTTGACCATTACGACAAAATCATTGGGGCATTAGAAGAAAAACAGAATGCAGATGTTGTATACACAGACTTTGCAAAGGCATTCGACAAATGTGACCATGGAGTGATGGCACACAAAATGAGGTAAATGGGTATAACTGGTAAAGTAGGACACTGGATTCTCGATTTCCTGTCGAAAAGAACACAGAGTAACAGTCAATCAAATAAAATTGAGTCAAAGCGCAGTTAAAAGCTCTGTACCTCAAGGTACAGTCCTTGCACCACTGCTGTTCCTTGCTTTCATATCAGATATAGACAAAAATACAAATCACAGCTTCGTGTCATCCTTTGCAGATTATACAAAATTCAGCATGAAAGTTACCTCTGCTGAAGACATTGAAAAACTACAGATACAGTATTAACAAAGTTTTCGGTTGGGCAGCAGAAAATAACATGTTTAACAGTGATAAATTCCAGGTACTCGGGTACAGCAAAAATGAGGAGCTGAAACATAATAAAGGGTACAAAACAATCGAATCTGCCCATAGTAGGAAAGCAGCATGTCAAGGATTTGGGAATAATGATGTCCGACGACCTAATGTTTAGGGAGCATAACTAAACAAATATTGTCGGCCCGAAAAATGTTAGGATGGATTATGAGAACCTTCAAGTCCAGAGATCCCATCACAATGGTTGTACTCTTCAAATCACTTGTGTTGTCCCGTCTTCAGTACTGCTCAGTACTCGCTTCCCCCTTCAGAGCAGGAGAGATTGCCGAGAGGGAATACAGAGAACATATACGGCACGCATAGACGAGAGAGAGCACCTAAATTATTGGGATCGTCTCAAAGCTCTCCAAAATGTACTCGCTAGAAAGGAGACGAGAGATGCCAAATAATATACACATGGAAAATACTGGAGGGCTAGGTCCCAAATCTACACAGTAAAATAACAACGTACTGGAGTGAACGATATGGAAGAAAATGCAGAATAGAACCAGTGAAGAGCAAATGTGCCATAGGCACAATCGGAGAACACTGTATAAATATTGTAGGTCCGCGATTGTCCGCATCATCTGCAAACTCATTCATATAATTTTGTATTCCTTCCAGTAGATCGTTGACGTAGATGAACATTACTGGTGCAAAAATTTAAGCCTGTGGTACTCTGCTACTAACGTTCCTCCAGTCAGATACATTCTCTGATTACTGCCCTCGATTGTCTCTGTCTTGCAGTGTTGGCAGAGCTGCTGTACCTTGTATTTGGTGTGAATGTCACTTCTGCCCCACTTCTCCAAGCTTTCTTGTGCAATTTTTTTGCCTCTGGCCTGCTTATGCACTATCTGAACCTTTTGTCTTTGGACCGGGTTCATTCTTTCTTCACATCGATTTGTTGTGGCCCCTCCGGTTTGTGATTGTTTTTGGTAAGTGTTGTTTTTGGCCTTGGTAGCTGCTTTGTGCTACTTGTGAGCCACCAGTTCTGTCAGTGGACATGCTCTGGGTTGGTTTGGTTTCCTTGGTTTCCTGTTCCAGGGCTCGTGTGTCTCAGGTCATCTGCAGTGTCATTGAATCTAGCCAACCTGCAATCTACCCTCGTACCCATGGTGTTATGAAGTATGCCGCTCTCTCGCATGTGTTTGGGAATGTGTCTTGGGACGATATTCAGGCACGAGGTTTTGGAGGTCTTAATTAAAGGGTTTTGGCCGCCAGGTTTCTGGTAATGTCCCAGGCCCTCTGTGGCCTTGTGTTGCTTTGGGCTGTCTGTCGCTGCTGTGTTTTCCTCGAATTGACACCTGCAGTGCTGCTGCCTCCCTAGTAAGTCTGTTGTTTCTTCTCTGTGGGTAGTTAGCTTCAGGGAGTCAACAGGGCTTTCCACAGAAAACCATCTTCAAATGTACATAATGAAATGCCAGTTTTTGGGCGAGCCCAGGAGGCTCCCCGACACCCTCCCTCCCTCCCTCAGGTTGGCGGCATTCATCATTCAAGAACTGGCTGGTGGGCGGCCAAGCTCACTTGGGCCGGCTTCCTCTCCCCCTGCAGAGATGGGGGTTGTGCTAATGAGTGGGTGGGGGGTTAGTTAGATGAAGTTCTGCTTGTTTTCTTTGGGGGGGGGGGGGGGAGTTATTTTGCTCTTTTGAGGACATAGGTTGCAATTTTCAAGTAGGTAGTGATCTACTTGATTTGCCTAACTTTCTGGGTGCCTTCCCAGGTCGATGTCAAAATGACAAATTTTAAATGTAAAGTGTTCATGGACCATTAGTCCCTGTGCCTCTCTGAAGGGGGCCAGGTTCTGGCTTGTGGACCCCGGTAGGCAGTACAAGAACTCTGCGACTGATAACACTCAAGTAGTATGGCACTTGATCAGTAAGATAGCTTCAGGGAGCCGACAGTGCTTACCCAGAAGCTGGCATTTCATTACATTCGATGCTGGTTTTTGTTTTATTTTGGCTTGTCATTTTTGTTTAATTAACAAGTACATGCAAAATGGTATAAAAGAAGAATGTTGGGTTTCTAGGTGCGGCAAGTATATACTGACCCTAAAGTCACTAAGACGCAGTATTTCAGGCATGGTGTGGGAATATTCTCAAATAATACCAAATCTCTGTTTTTTCACCCCTATCAGTTCTAACAATGTCTAGCTTTGTCTTTAAAGTAATAGGTTGTCTTTTCCTCGGCACTGGTGCATTATCAACATGCTTCCTATCCTTATCAGCCATCGTTAATGGTATTTTCCTCAAAGTCTAAAGAAAGCCCAGCACTAGCTAGTCTGGGCACAAAAAAACTGTTAGGCACTGCGAGTCTCCACAGGTACAAGTGACATTGTACACACGATGGTTTGCCAACTTATTTTAAAACCTACTTACCTAACCCAAGAAACCTAATGTTACCAAAAGAAACCTACTCTAACATATCCGTGCCTAACACCTAGGAACCGGTGACTGAGCGGACAGAATACTGGACGCGTGATCCTGTGGTCACGGGTTCGATCCCGGGCGCCGGCGAGAAACAATGGGCAGAGTTTCTTTCACCCAGATGCCCCTGTTACCTTGCAGTAAATGGGTACCTGGGAGTTAGTCGGCTGTCATGGGCTGCTGCCTGGGGGTGGAGGCCTGGTCGAGGACCGGGCCGCGGGGACACTTAAGCCCCGAGATCATCTCGAGATAACCTCAAGATAACGTAGTGTAGTCCAAGCTAATATATAACCAAATGATGTTTATAGTTTTGACAATTGGAAAATAAGCTGTTGAAAAGTATTTTTGTACATTTTGACCATCCTCCTCCTTCCCAGTGAGCTGTGAAGATGGTTTTATACAATACTTCACCACGTAGGCTGCCACATGGATTATTTGGTGCACTGATCATAGTTCTGGGGACACTGGAGGGTTTGGTTAGCAATTTGATGCATAAAGGGGAACATAAGAGGATGTTTGGATGGACGAGTGTTTGTATAACAGGGACCTCCTGTATTTATATATGACAAAATAATAAATATTGCGAAGTACTCTACTGTACTGTATTTGAAAGTTTAAACATTTTTAAAGTTTGGAAGGGGGTTAAAAATGATACAGTAGACTGGATTTTTGAGGTGGCTTTATACTTGTGAAGATATAATGCAATTTGATGAGTAATAGTCTATAGTTCTCTAATATTTGTTCCTAATGATTGGTTTTTCATCTAAATATTTTTCAGAAAATTCACAAGGAATATCGAGAAAAATTGGAAGATCTAACCCAGCTACAACAAAAGTGTATCAAAGGGATCGCGCACCAGCGATATAGAATTACTATCATTAAACAGTCCCTTAAAAAGTTAAGTCCATGTTATTTTTGTCTTTTTAAGTAGTTAATACTGTACTGCAATGAATGGTACCTGTACTATTTAATATAATTGTCAATAGGAAGGAAGGGGTAGTGCCACAGAAGGGTTTTTCATTTGATACCTGTGGCAGACAAGAAATGCTTAGATAATATTTCCTATCTCATGGGTTGTTCACCTAGCATTGAATGTGTTTTAGGCAACTACTGTTAGTTGCATATTGAGGAAGAGGCAGTAGTTGACCAGTATAAATCTAACATGTTTCCTGTACCTGGCTATGGAAAACCATAGTGACCCCATACTTGACTGTATATTACATTAATTATTTGGTGTACCCAATAGGGACACCAATTTTTTTAATTTTTTTTAAGTTCTTGCCTTGTAAACTTGAAAAACTGTGTGACCAAAATGTGTTGGTACCTTCTTAAATTATGAAATGTGCATTATGTCTGTCTCTGTGTGTGTGTGTGTGTCTGTGTAATTACTTAAGTATAGTTACAGGATGAGAGCTACGCTCATGGTGTCCCGTCTTCCCAGCACTGTCATATAACTTTGAAACTACTGACGGTCTTGGCCTCCACCACCTTCTCACCTAACTTGTTCCAACCGTCTACCACTCTGTTTGCGAAAGTGAATTTTCTTATTTCTTCAGCATCTGTGTTTAGCTAGTTTAAATCTATGACCTCTTGTTCTTGAAGTTCCAGAACTCGGGAAATCTTCCCTATCAATTTTATCAATTCCTTTTACTATTTTGTACGTAGTGATCATATCTCCTCTTTTTCTTCTGTCTTCTAGTTTTGGCATATTTAATGCCTCTAACCTCTTCTCGTAGTTCTTGCCCTTCAGTTCTGGGAGCCACTTAGTAGCATGTCTTTGCACCTTTTCCAGTTTGTTGATGTGTTTCTTAAGATATGGGCACCACACAACAGCTGCATATTCTAGCTTTGGTCTAACAAAAGTCGTGAACAATTTCTGTAGTATTTTGCCATCCATGTATTTAAAAGCAATTCTGAAGTTAGAATGCGTAGCATAGGCTCCTCGCACAATGTTCTTTGTGGTCCTCAGGTGATAGAAAACTATCTAGAACCACCCTTAGATCTTTCTTTATCAGAATTCTTTAAAGATTCCTCACATAATTTATAGGTTGTGTGGGGTCTGTTCTCCTATTCCGCATTCCATAACATGGCATTTATTCACATTAAATTCCATTTGCCAAGTGGAGCTCCATATACTTATTTTGTCCAGGTCTTCTTGAAGGGTATGGCAATCATCTTGTGTGTGTCTCTCTCTCTGTCTGTCTCTGCGTCTGTCTCTGTGCACTCTATTTGTGCTTGCGGGGGTTGAGCTATGGCTCTTTGGTCCCGCCTCTCGACTGTCAATCAACTGATGTACAGGTTTCTGAGCCTACTGGGCTCTATCATATCTACACTTGAAACTGTGTATAGAGTCAGCCTCCACCACATCACTTCCTAATGCATTCCATTTGTCAACCACTCTGACACTGAAAAAGTTCTTTCTGATATCTCTATGGCTCATTTGGGCACTCTATTTCCACCAGGGTCCCCTAGTGCATGTGCTCCTTGTGTTAAAGAGCCTGTCTTTATATACCCTATCAGTTCCTTTGAGAATGTTATATGTCATGATCATGTTCCCCCTAACTTTTGTGCCTTCCAGCGACGTGAGGTTTAATTCCCGTAGTCTCCTCGTAGCTCATACCTCTTGGCCTGGGTACTAGTCTGGTGGCAAATCTTTGAACCTTTTACAGTTTAGTCTTATGCTTGACTAGATATGGACTCCATGCTGGGGCTGCATACTCCAGGATTGGTCTGATATAGGTGGTATACAAAGTTCTGAATGATTCCTTACACAAGTTTCTGAATGCCATTCTTATGTTAGCTAACCTGGCATATGCTGCTGATGTTATCCTCTTGATATGGGCTTCAAGGGACAGGTCTGGCATGATAACAACCCCTAAGTCTTTCTCTCCTTCTGACTCTTGAAGAATTTCATCTCCCAAATGATATCTTGTATCTGGCCTCCTGCTCCCTACACCTATCTTCATTACATTATATGTAATGAAGAGTGAAGATTCACTCTTCACTCATCTGAGTGAAGATTCATTATATGTAATGAATAATGAAGTCCTACTCTCTGGGAGATCATTTACATATATCAGAAACAGGATAGGACCAAGTACAGAGCCCTGTGGGACTCTGTACTCTGTGTGGGTTAGACAAGATGTACAGTAATAAGTAACAATTAAATCCTTGGCAGGCTGGATCACAGAGATGATCCTGACAACAGAGAAAGAAATGCGCTGCTTCAGACTGACCTCATTCGGCGGAAGGCTCAACTATATGACATGGAGAACAACATTCCAAAAGAGAACGGTCTCTACCTTAAGATCATTCTCGGCAATATTAATGTTTCAATATTAAACAAAGAAGAAAAGTAAGTACTACTGTATATATATGTGTATATATATATATGTGTGTATGTGTATGTATGTATAATATTATATAGCAGTTAATGGAAATATTTAATCTACATTTTCTTTGCAGAAATTTTTTCCTTAGTGTGTTATTGAGTATATACAGTAGGGCGCTATCAGTTCAGTGTTTGGTTCCTGGGCTCTCCACAAATTAGCTAATCTTCCCTTCCCCACTTGCATGCACTTGCGAAGGTGGGGCTTCAGAGTTGACAATTGGCCTCTGCAAGCACGAGTATATCCAGTTGAGTACCAACACACTGCCTATAGCTAGCTAAAAATGTGAGGACTAATGCTAGGGAAAATAGCCGAGGTGTTTTCGTCAAAACTAGCGCCGGCTGGATATGATAGGAGAGGGCGGGGCAAGGAGGGGTAGGGAAGGGGAGGCGACAAGGGGGGGGGTGAGGGAGGTGGCAAGGGGGAGAGTGGGAAGGGGAGGCAACAAGGGGGGGGGGTGAGGGAGGCGGCAAGGAGGGGTGAGGGAGGTGGCAAGGGGGGAGGGGGAGGTGGCAAGGAGGGAAGAGGAGGGGGAGGCAGCAAAAGGGGAGGGAGAGGCAGCAAGGAGGGGGAGAGGCAGCAAGGAGGGGGAGGAGGGAGAGGAGGCGGGGGGAGATCTAACACAACATCATTTAGTGTCCAAGAGGCAGAGTTCCTACTACCTGTACTACAAACAAGCAAAGTTGGAATTGACAAAAAAATGAAGCAATTGTTGGTGATTTTTTGCCATGACTGGTGGTAAAGAAATTCCATTAAACTTTAAATTTACACAAAAGGATGTAAAGTATGTAAATTTCCTCTCAAATTTGTTTCAATTCAGATTAGTTATATACTGTGTTTAAACGTAATATTCAAAAGTTGATATAGAAAAGAAGGTACACATTCAACAAAGGTTTGATGAAGTAAAAACTGTCAGGGGGAACACAGTTTTCATCAAATTATAGCTATCTGTTGTAGGTATATGTTCTGATGGATGTACTACATAAAGTTCAATGAATGACAGGGATTTAATATTCGTCCAAAAGCTGATTAAGTAAAAGATCTTTCCTTGAAAGAAGGAAGTTTTATTATTGGACAATGTCTTTTGTCATCATTATGGAAAAACTGTTGGGCTTTATCTTGATTTTTCAGAGAAATGTTTAAATTAAAAAATATAATCTTTAATACCTCAATGTAGACGAAGATGTATGATGGGTAGAAATTAAAGTACTATACTCGCCTAGTTGTTTGTGTTGGTTGAGGTTTGGCTCTTTCGTTCAGCCTCTCGACTATCGATGAACTGGTATACAGGTTCCTGAGCTTATTGGGCTCTATATCTACATTTGAAACTGTGTATGGAGTCTGCCTCCACCACATTACTGCCTGGTTAATACCTGGTTACCTGGTTGATGGGGTTCTGGAAGTTCTTCTACTGCCCAAGCTCGGCCTGAGGCCAAGCTTGACTTGAGAGTTTGGTCCACCAGGCTGTTGCTTGGAGCAGCCTGCAGGCCCACATATGCCCACATGAAATGCCTAGTACATTTCATTTGTTAACTGCCCTGTCCAGTGTAACACTTTACCAAACCCATCGGAAGAATTGGGGGTCAGGTGTGTTTTACAAATTTACATTCTAAATGTACGGTAGCTGACGTATTTGGGCGCCTGATAGCTGGGTGGACAGCACTTCGGATTCGTAGTCCTGAGGTTCCGGGTTCGATCCCCGATGGAGGCGGAGACAAATGGGCAAAATGTTTATTTCAACCTGATGCTCCTGTTCATCTACCAGTAAATAGGTACCTGGGAGTTAGACAGCTGCTACGGGCTGCTTCCTGGGGGGAGGGGGGGGGGTGTAACAAAAAAGAGGCCTGGTCGAGGACCGGGCCGTGGGGACGCTAAGCCCCGAAATCATTTCAAGATAACCTCAAGATAAGAAGCTATATTTCAAAATTTGTAATAATGCTTCAGTGAACATATTACATTACATATTTTTACATGGTATTATTTTCAACTTATAATTTAGTAAAATATTTAATTATTTGTGGGTAACTGCACAACATTGTATTTAAAACATTTGGTTAATAATAGATACATGTTCAAAAATACCAACATAGATTTTGTTATAAACATTAAATAATGTGCTTGTAACAAAATGTACAACAAAGCTTAATATAAAAGTTGCAGGCCATACTTCAAATAATAAAGTAAAAAACAAAAAAAAACAAAATTCATATTTTTATAACCTTGGGGGGAGGGGTTGCTGCCTCCCAAAAATTGTAATTGAACTATTGAAAAGTATTATCTAGCTATGGTATGCTTTATTTTTTCTTTAACTTAATTGTTTTATTATAATAATAATAATTGGGGGCTTGGGGCCAACTGGAAATTTTACCCCCCCCCCCATATCTCTGGAACTAATTGATCAGTACGGTGTATTGCTAAAAGTTGACGTGTTAATCACTCGTTAATCTTCAACTTCACCAAGTTTCAGGAAAATCAAAGATGTGTGGTGGATTTTATTTTTGTCTGATTTGTCTTTGGATGCATCACCAGTTACATACTCTTGGTCTAATTGTAATCATATTTACTTTGCCATCAGGTACCGGTACAAAGATGAGTACGAGAAGTTCAAGCTTGTTATTAATCTTGTAGCATTTGCCATCTCTACCTTCAATATACTTACAAACATCAGGTAATTATATATATATATATATACAGTATATGTATATACAGTGTGTGTTAATGTAAAATGTGTTTGGTGTGAACTTGCTTGAATGAACTATGAGGCAAGGCTGCTTTGTTCCAAATGGGATTCCGTATGGACAGACTCCAGACAACCCCTTCCCACCCAGGTAAATAAATGCATATTCTGTGATGCATATACCTGTACAGGTTTGTGACTTAGAGCTATCATAACCTATCTTCAATACTATATTAAAAAAAAATCAGAAAATCTAGTTATTAATCATTTTGACCTTCACAAACAATTCAATATCCAAATTTTATCAACTGTACATGACAATTATTTTTGGCACAAACATTATGTAATGACCAGGTTCCAAATTCACCAAGTGTTGTGCATTTCTTCTTCAATCGCGGCATCAAAAAAATCTTGGCTCTGTAAGAAGGCCCCTATGCAAGAACCAGCAAGGTGTTTTTTCAAAATTATTAAGGATTTGGTTCTGATTTACCTGCTTCTTGACAGAAGTCACTAATACTTTTTGTTTTGCCAGAGTGAAGGTAATATTGTTCATCTTATCATTTGGCTAATCATGTTGCTGGCTTTGCTGGACAACCAACCAATCTCATGCATCTTATATCAGGTGATGTATGTTAACAAAGTGAGTTTACATATTCACTAAATGGAAGAAGAACTCTGCTTCTGTGTACCCATTATATAGATAGCATATTTTAGCATTAAATTGTGCAAAGGAATGAAATATACTGCGAGCTGCTGCAAGCAACAGCCTAGTGGACCAAACTCACAAGTCAAGCCTGGCCTCGAGCCGGGCTTGGGGAGTAGAAGAACCCCCAGAACCCCATCGAGCAGGTATACTTGCTAGTTTGCTAGTAAGCTCCTTTGGAGGCCTTCTATATCTCTCATGGTTGAAGTATCATTGGGAGAGAACTGCATTGAGGGACTAGTGGGGGTGTGAGAGAAGATGACATACAGTATAATAAAATGTGTCCCATTTATTTATGTAGTATATGTACAGTACGAGTTTACTTTATTTTTGGTTTGTTTATAAATAAAATATACATGCCGGTTGGTCATTAAACTACTGCCACAGCCTTAACACTTTTGCATTCCGATGAATTGTTTTAGCGTACCTTACTTTGAGGTTACCTCGATGGTTTCAGGGCTTAGCGTCCCTGCGGCCCAGTCTTCGACTAGGACTTCTCGTTGCTGGACTGGTCAACCAGGCTGTTGGACACGGATGCTTGCAGCCTGACATGCGAGTCACAGCCTGGTTGATCAGGTATTCTTTGGAGGTGCTTATCCAGTTCTCTCATGAACACAGAGGTCGGCCAGTTATTCTCCCTTGTGTGTACCTTGAGGTTACCTTGAGGTGCTTCCGGGGCTTAGCGTCCCCACGGCCCGGTCGTCAACCAGGCCTCCTGGTTGCTCGACTGATCAACCAGGCTGTTGGACGCGGCTGCTCGCAGCCTGACGTATGAGTCACAGCCTGGTTGATCAGGTATCCTTTGGAGGTGCTTATCCAGTTCTCTCTTGAACACTGTGAGGGGTCGGCCAGTTATGCCCCTTATGTGTAGTGGAAGCGTGTTGAACAGTCTCAGGGCTCTGATGTTGATCGTTCTCTCTGAGTACCTATTGCACCTCTGCTCTTCAATAGGGTTATTCTGCACATCCTGCCATGCTTTCTGGTCTTGTGTATTCACCTAGTTGTGCTTGCGGGGGTTGAGCTCTAGCTCTTTCGGCTCGCCTCTCGACTGTCAATCCATTCTTTTTTTCATTGCCTGCCTGCCTGCAGCCCATAATAGCTGTCGTAACTACAAAGTACCTTTTTACTGCTAGGTAACAGGGTGAAAGAAACTCTGCCCATTTGTTTCCGCCATCGCTGGGGATCAATCCCCGGGTCATAGGACTACGAATCCAAAGCACTGACCACTTGGCCACAGGCCTCTGTAAATGTGGTGTTATTTCTGTATGCAGGTTTGGGACCAGCCCCTCTACTATTTTCCACGTGTAAATTATTATGTATCTCTCCCAGTACATGGGGCCTGACAACTGAGTGGACAGTGCTTCGGATTCGTAGTCCTGACGTTCCGAGTTTGATCCCCGGTGGAGGAGGAAACAAATGGGAAGAGTTTCTTTCACCCTGATGCTCCTGTTCACCTAGCAGTAAATAGGTACTTGGGAGTTAGACAGCTTTGTGGTCACTTGTTAGACACTTGGGAGTTAGTGTTTTGTTTGTCTTCCTTGGCATCTAATGCCATGTCATAGTGGTCCAGCAATTTTGATAGGCAAGAGCACCCTGTTCTGAAACCATGCTGTCCAGGGTTATGGAGATGCTGTGATTCCATGTATTTTGTGATCTTACTTCTTGGCACTCTTTCAAAGATTTTTTATGATGTGTGATGTTAGTGACATCAGTCTGTAATTTTTTGCCTTCGGCTTAGCACCACTTCATAAAGGAGGAAATATCTCTGCTGTTTTTAGTATACAGGTATCAGGAATAACGCCCGTATCTAGGCTCTCTCCAAAGAATGTGAAGGACCTGCGATAGTGGTTTTTACAGTTCTTGATGAATACCAATACTTCATTATTGTTAATACGTTATCAATACTCTAACAGTTAACATTGCGATGACTCTAAAATGTCATGCAATTGACATTTATAAATTTTAGTATATTCATAGCTGTCATGCATAATCTATTATAATGGCATTTTTTTCTGGAGGGAGTTTTTTGTGGTTCCCTGAAGCTATATGCAGAGATGGTTCCCATCTTCCAAGTTGCATCAGCTGTGGAGTTCTTGGGCTTCTTGGGGACCTGACCCAGAACCTGGCCCCAGTTTTCCCTCGGAGGGAAAGGGTGAAGGGACATTTTGCCACCTCGCTGGGAAAGGCATCCAGAAAGGCAGCGAGTCGAAACGAACCGCTGTTGGGTTCAAAACACAATCCTCATATCCGGCCTAATGAACCCCCTCAACTATGTAAACAAAGGATTGAATCTTTTGAAACAAACGAAGTCATTTGCCCCAACTTTCCACTTGTTTCGGGGGGGGGGGGTTGAGCTGTTAGCTCTTGCACTGATGTGATTGGGGTCATTTGACTGCTGTAGTGGTTCTCGGTCACCTTTCTTCTGTGTGCGTTGCACTGTTCAGCTAAAGGGGTGCAATAGTGGTATGGAAAAAAGATAATTATAGAAAGGAGAGGCTTCGACAACTAGAAGGCAAGTCAACTTGTGTAAAAGTACAAGACCCGCAGGTGGCGCTTAAAGCACAAACACACAACCAAAAATTATACTAAAACTATACAGGAATAAAGATGATAGGTCTAGGGGCATTGGTGGGTAGGACTAAAGCAAAAGCAAGGGACCTACCTCTGAACGTAATCTCTCACTATCCGTGTATACCAGAGAGAGAAGCAGCTAAAAGGGTGGCAGAATTTTTTTTCTACAAAAATACAGTATAATTAAACAGGGTCCGAGACAAACGAGAGTTTTTAGGCCACCAACTATGGAACTGTTAGGAAAGCTATACTACACGTAATGAGGGACATCTTGTTAACTTTAGATGGTAAAACCTATAGACAAATAAAGGATACAACAATAGAGGCATCGAGCAACATGGTAATAGCTGAAATATTTGTCCAGTCTTTGAATCGGCTGGAATACAAACACAGAGAACAGAGCAGAGTTTACCAATATACCTATGATACATAGACGATATCTTTGGTATCATGGTAGGACGCAGACAAGAACTGGAACAATTCTTTAATTGGGCAAATACAGTGCACAAAAACCTAAAATTCACACTAGAAATCAATGATACAAGCATGCTCTTTCTAGATACAAAGGTGTATATAGAAGACGATAACAGAATTTTACAAACCGCAGTACATTATAAACCGACAAACCTTCATTCACACATGCTTTATTCATCTAGTCACCCATTATCACTCAAGAAATCACTGTCTCTTACTCCTTAGCCATTAGGCTTAAAAGAATAATAAGTACTGTAATAAAGATAAACTACAAGAGGCAGAAGAATCTTTATAGAATCATTTCAGAAATAGAGGTTACCCAGAGAATATATTACAAGATGACAAAATAAAAATAGATGGCAAAAGTAAAGAATTATTTTTATGTACAGCGAGATCTAGAGACGCTAATAAGAGGTTGAGCCTTCCACTCCACTATTTTCTGGGAATAGCAGAATAGTCACACTATTACTTGACACATTCTTTCTGCAGCAAATTATATTTTTTATATCTAAATTATATATTACAGTAGTGTAGTGGAAAACTAGATCACTGGTGACCCAAATGATAAGTATATTTTGTTTGACATGGTTTTCAGGAGTAAGACGGGGGAAAGAGGGAGCTTGGCTTGCAGAGCTTCTTTTTTTTAAGTACATTCTCCAGCTTTACCTTTTAATTTGACTAGTTTTTTCTTTTGCAGGACAGCTGATTTGATTCACATGTTCCTCTTGGTGTGGTACTACTGCACGCTAACCATCCGAGAAAGTATTTTAAAGGTCTGTAACTGAGAAAGTCACAGTATGACATTATTCTTTGTATAATTGAAATGTGTTTATCCTCGCATATCAGCCAACCCGTGGAGAGAATCCTATGCTAGGGAATCTTTCACAATCTCTTGGTGCACAATCCAGTAAAATCAACACAACATGATTTTGTTAAAAATAAGTTCTTATTAACCTTTTCATATATTTTTGGATAAGTTAACCAGCTATTCAGTAGACATGTATACATGGACTTCTCTAAAGCTTTAGATAAGGTATTACATGAAAGACTGACAGGAAAATTGGCAGGCAAGCCAAGGCCCTTCAACCAGCAATACCTCGCAAGGAAGCCAAGGTCCTTCAATCAGATGCTGTAGCAGCTGGCAGTCAAAACTGACCTTGCCTAGCTCATGTACAGTAATTTTAGTGTTTGTTAGGTTACTTAAAGATTTTAAAACAATTCGGCAATCGAGCAAACAAACAAAATGTGCTCAAATTTCTGTTGTCACTAAGGGGTGTTGGTGGCTCAGTAGGTAGAGCGACTCAACCGTACTAATGGGTTGACTGTTCGAGGCTCCTAGTGCCCAGGTGAATGAAATGTTACATACATGACAGTATGGTAAACAGATCGGATAGTCAGCCACTGGGTTCAAAATTTCTTATTTTGCACAATATATGATGAAGGCACACAAACATTCATACCAAAGCAGATATGCAGACCTAGGAAACAGGGTTGATTCAACAGAAATTGCAAGAGGGCCGGAGATCAAAAGGCACAAGCATGGAATCATTATAGAAAGAGGCCAAACCCCCAAACATACCAGCGTCCAGTGATACAAAGATGCAAGAAACGACTACATGTCGGTAAGGAGAGAGCCAGAGAGGAACTTTGAGAACGGTATAGCGACAAATGTAAATCAGATCCAGGCCTTTTTTATAAATTCATTAAAAGTAAGCTGCAGGTAAAGGATAATATTCAGAGGTTGAAAATGGGGGACAGATACACGGAAAATGAAAAGGAATTGTGTGAAACCTTTTTATTTTTTGGGGGGGGAGTTCCAAAGTGTGTTTGTACAAAATGAGATCTTCAGAGAACCAGACACAATACGAATTCCACAGAACAACATAAGAGCGTATAGAGGTGTCTAGAGATGAAGTGGAAAATATGCTAAAGGAGCTAAGAAAGAATAAAGCAGTTGGCCCAGATGGAGTTTCACCATGGGTTCTGAGAGAATGTGCATCTGAGCTCAGCATTCCACTTCACCTGATCTTTCAGGCATCCCCGTGTACAGGAATCGTAGCAGACGTGTGGAAACAGGCTAACGGTTCCAATCTACAAAAATGGCAGCAGGGAAGACCCTCTCAATTATAGACCTGTATCATTGACAAGTGTAATAGTGGAAATATTGGAAAAACTAATCAAAACTAAATGGGTAGAACACCTGGAGAGAAATGATACAATATCAGACAGGCAGTATGGTTTTCGATTTGGAAGATCCTGTGTATCGAAATTACTCAGTCTCTATGATCAAGCCACAGAGATATTACAGGAAAGAGATGGTTGGGTTGACTATATCTATCTGGACCTAAAAAAGGCGTTTGACAGATTTCCACAAGAGGTTGTTCTGGAAACTGGAAAATATTGGAGGGGTGACAGGTAAGCTTCTAACATGGATGAAAAATTTTGACCGATAGAAAAAAAGAGGGCCGTAGTCAGAGGCAATGTATCGGACTGGAGAAATGTCACAAGTGGAGTACCACAGGGTTTAGTTCTTGCACCAGTGATGTTTGTCTACATAAATAATCTACCAATTGGTATACAGAATTATATGAATATGTTTGCTGATGATGCTAAGATAATAGGAAGGATAAGAAATTTAGATGATTGTCATGCCCTTCAAGATGAGTTGGACAAAATAAGTATATGGAGCACCACTTGGCAAATGGAATTTAGTGTGAATAAATGTCATGTTATGGAATGTGGAATAGGAGAACATAGACCCCACACAACCTATATATTATGTGAGAAATCTTTAAAGAATTCTGATAAAGAAAGAGATCTAGGGGTGGTTCTAGATAGAAAACTATCACCTGAGGACCACATAAAGAATATTGTGCAAGGAGCCTATGCTATGCTTTCTAACTTCAGAATTGCTTTTAAATACATGGATGGTGATATACTAAAGAAATTGTTCATGACTTTTATTAGGCCAAAGTTAGAATATGCAGCTGTTGTGTGGTGCCCATATCTTAAGAAGCACATCAACAAACTGGAAAAGGTGCAAAGACATGCTACTAAGTGGCTCCCAGAACTGAAGGGCAAGAGCTACGAGGAGAGGTTAGAGGCATTAAATATGCCAAAACTAGAGGACAGAAGAAAAAAGGTGATATGATCACTACGTACAAAATAGTAACAGGAATTGATAAAATTGATCGGGAAAATTTCCCGAGACCTAGAACTTCAAGAACAAGAGGTCATAGGTTTAAACTAGCTAAACACAGATGCTGAAGAAATATAAGAAAATTCACTTTTGCAAACAGAGTAGTAGACGGTTGGAACAAGTTAGGTGAGAAGGTGGTGGAGGCCTAGACCATTGGTAGTTTCAAAGCGTTATGACAGTGCTGGGAAGACGGGACATCACGAGCGTAGCTCTCATCCTGTAACTACACTTAGGTAATTACACTTGGGTAATTACTAAATTGTTTGAATGCTGTGAGTACTGTATTGGTACAGTATGCGAGTCAATATGAACTATGTTGGTTGCGATATAGAAAATTGAGAATGTTAATTTTTGGACTTTCCGGAACACATTGCTGCTAATCTAGTTGTATGGCCAACTTGGTGAGGGGTGGTGTCCTATATAATCTGGATCAATGAAAGTAGACAGTACAAGATAACACACTAACTAGTACATGCAATCTATCACTCTCTCGCCCCATCAACTCGTGTTTGTGTGCACACTCTACATTACAGTCCTGAATTTTATAACAAACTGTACTGTTTGGAATGATGATAAATTGTGTGTGTGTACTATTTTTATTATCCCTGTACTATTGATAATCCATGTGGTCATTACGGTACCCTGTAATATTAGTTAGACCACTATTCGTATTCTGGAAGATACCAAAATGGGGGATGCATATCTGTCTACCTAATTCTGTTAAACCATATCTAGTACAGTAGTGTTTTTTATAATTGATAATATAGCCCAGTTTTTATAATTTATTTTTTTATTACTAGTGCTCAATTGAGTTGCCTTTCTAAAGCTGGAATCTGGTTTACAGGTGAATGGTTCAAGGATCAAGGGCTGGTGGAGGGCACATCATTTCATATCGACAGTTTTGTCAGGAATTCTTCTTATTTGGCCTAACGGGGAAACCTACTATGCATTCCGTAGGCAGTTCATGTTCTTCAATATGTATATTAGTAAGTATTGTATAGATATCTCAATAGAACATGACAATTTTTGGTTTCTTTTTAAATATTCATGGTTGCAATACTATACAGTGGACTGTTAAATAACTGCTGGTGTATTCCTGGAAAATGAATGGACTATATAAATTTAATTAGAAAAAACTAGCATTGAATGTAATGAAATGCCAATTTTTGGGTGAGCCCTGGTAGCTCCCTGTAGTTAGGCAATACACACACACATTGGAGATGCTAACAGGTGCCATCAGTTAAGAGTTCTCTGGACTACCAGGGACCATGGGCCAGAGCCTGGCCCCCCTCATAGAGGCGCAGGGAGCAGTGACATCTATTTTATATATGCTATCACCAGAGAAGGCACCCAAAAAGTCAGACACAAAACAGACCAAAGCTGGCTACAGTACTTCCTATTCCTGCGGACTTGAAAATGGCCATAGAACTCCCCCAAAATAAACAACCAAAAATGTTTGGATCCAGCTTGTGCTCGTTTACTCCACTTCCCCTCGTTTGGGGGGGACGGGTGGGCAGTCCGTGGCTCCCAGGCCGCAAGCTTGTCAGTTCAACGAATGATGTGAAGCTTCCGACTCTGGGGGAAGGGCAGGCATCAGGAAGCCTCCAGGGCTTGCCCAAAAATTGGTGTTTCATTACATTCAATACTGGTTTTGTGGGGGGGAGGGAGACCCTTGTGGCTCCCTGTAGTTATCTACTAATGGAGAAGAAAAGAGGGACAAACCAGGGAGGAGGGAGCACTTCAGGTATTTGAATTAGAAGACAGTCGGCATAGAAAGCGCCCGTGTGGCTCCGAGTAGGCTGAGGTTCAAGAACAAGAGCCCAAAAACTGGCCACCAGTAATTTGTTAACTCGCCCCTCAGGGCTGATCCATGCCTTATGATCACCTAAACCTTTTGTCCAACAGTTATTTCCCAACAAAGTATGCTAAGGAATAGAAGGATAACTAAAGCACTTCCCTGTAGTTGTCATGGTTGAAGATTTGCAAGAGTAAGCATCCACTCAATTTAACGGCCTATATGGGGCTGTACCCAGGTAATTAAATGCGACCTGGTATACTGGCTCCGGTATTTTTGAAGTTAAGTGTCGGTAATATTTCAAGTAACATTCAGGCAAGATGTATTTTGTACAGACAGCCACTTGGTCTTCTACCTCTTCTAGGTCTTGGTCTTCAGCTCTAGTGGCTTCTACCTTGTGACGTCACAAATTCACAGCACATTGTTTTGATGTGTCATGAGGCTAGTGTTCATTCTGTGACTTTGTTGGACGTACTGTATCTGTATAATCAAAGGCAGGGAGGTAGGGAGGGGTGGAGAGAGAGAGAGGGAGGGAGGGAGGGAGGGAGGGGTGGATAGGAGGAGGAGGGAGGGAGCGGTAGATAGGGGTAGGGAGGGAGGGAGGGGTGGATAGGGGGAGGGAGGGAGCGGTAGATAGGGGGAGGGAGGGAGGGGTGGATAGGAGGGAGGGAGGGAGGGGTGGATAGGGGGGGAGGGGTGGGTGGATAGGGGAAGGGAGGGAGGGAGGGGTGGGTGGATAGGGGGGGAAGGAGGGGGGAGGGGTGGATAAGGGGGGAGGGAGGGGTGGGTGGATAGGGAAAGGGAGGGGGGAGGGAGGGGTGGGTGGATAGGGAAAGGGAGGGAGGGAGGGAGGGAGGGAGGGGTGGGTGGATAGGGGAAGGGAGGGAGGGGGGGAGGGGTGGGTGGATAGGGGAAGGGAGGGAGGGGGAGGGGTGGGTGGATAGGGGAAGGGAGGGAGGGAGGGAGGGGTGGGTGGATAGGGGAAGAGGGGGGGGGAGGGAGGGAGGGGTGGGTGGATAGGGGAAGAGGGGGAGGGAGGGAGGGAGGGAGGGGTGGGTGGATAGGGGAAGAGGGGGAGGGAGGGAGGGGTGGATAGGAGGAGGGAGGGAGGGAGGGGTGGATAGGGGGGGGAAGGAGGGGGGAGGGAGGGGTGGGTGGATAGGGGAAGGGAGGGAGGGGTGGGGTGGATAGGGGGAGGGAGGGAGGGGTGGGGTGGATAGGGGGAGGGAGGGAGGGGTGGGTGGATAAGGGAAGGGAGGGAGGGGTGGGGTGGATAGGGGGGAGGGAGGGATGGATGTCGAGTTGAACTACGTGACCTTGAAGCAGTGTGTGTATGGGGTGTGGGGAGCTGTTGGAGATGTGATGGTGGTGGGGGAGGGCGGCTCACTCTGATAACCCTATCACACTCGGCCCCATTAGCCAGATTTGTTAAATTCTGGATTTACATCATCATATACATGTTACAGGTTTTGTTTAGTAATTTTATTAGGATAATAAGAAGTTATAAAAATACTTTTCATGAAAGCTTTATTGTATTAGATGGAGATTCTCCAGGCTGTCTCTGGCTGGCTGGCAATCTACTGAGCCACCTCCCAGAAAGGTCTCTTGGGGGGTGGGGGGGGAGGGAAGCAGGAATTTAGGGTGTAGGGAAAAGCTGCAGTGAGGATGAGGGCGGGTACGATAGTCAGCGGCCTGTTGCCATGTGAGGGCCCCCTGATGCCAAAACAAACCCAATATCGACCTACGGTTCTATCGACCGGTATACAGTATGAGGCTCCAGATACCGGTCTCCCAAACCGGTCAATGGAACTGGCAAATCGGTAAATAAGAGGCTGTTAAATTGAGTGGATACTCAATTTATGCCATCCCTCCGTTAAGCGTGCCACCAGTGGCACGCTTTGTGTATCACGAACCAGAATTTACTTTGCTGGCTGGCAATGCTTGTTTTATAATTATATGGCAGACTCCTCCCTCCCCATCCCATTCAGATGACGCTTCAACAGAATTGTTCTTTATGGATCCTGGAAGGAGAAGTTTTGCTCAATGGTTTTACTGATAATTCAGTAGAATTTATGAAGTGTTATTTGTTAGTCATCTGACTGTGGGTTTTAATGTTAAACTAAGTAAATACGTTTTGAGGAGATGCTGGCGATGCAGTAAATAATGATCTCGTTTTCTGGAACAAATTTTATCCCATACTTCATCTCTTTCACGACTAACTAAATTATTTATTTTATATATTAATGAATACACAAAAGCAGCATTTTGTTTTTGGCCTGTTGCATTAAACAATTTGAGTAATGTGGGAGTTTTTCCCATATACAGGGGTACCTCGGTTTGAGTTTAACCCGTTCCTGGAGGCAGCTCGTAACCCGAAAACTCGTAAACCGAAGCTAATTTCCCCATAAGAAATAATGGGAAATGAATTAATCCGTTCCTGACTACCCAAAAACCTCACTTCAAACTAAATTTTATACCTAATTTATCAAAATCTAACTACAAAAGTATGTTCAAGTTATTACTTACCCTTGCTGATGACTGATGTTGGCATATGGAAGATGGTGAGGAGATGGGAGGAGGAGAGGTGTTACTGCTTGGAAGGGGAGTCCCCTTCCATTAGAACATCAGGCAGTGAGGACTTCTCTGGTGTGCACACTGGCACATTTTGCCTGCATACCACTAGGACTTGCTTGTGGCTCACTGCTTGCTTGTCTTACTAAGAATCTGTCTAAAGACACTTGTTTTCCCTACATTTTAACACTTGTCTGTAGTAAGACATAACATTGTCATTTAAAAGGTCAATGCAACGGCCTGCTACAGTTTTATCTGGGCGAGTTTTTTCAACAAAACTTTGCAGTTCTTCACACATTTTCTTAATGAGGAAGAGCCATCTTCTACTCACAACTGTTTTCTTAGGTTGAACCTTACCACTGGCTTTCTTGGGACCCATTGCGAGATATATAATAACAACTTTATGTTCAAATGGCCAAATATCCAACAAAACACTGTAAATCCTGGTGAAGTATTGAAGCGGGATAGTCACTGGGCACGAGGCATTGGTAAACTGAACGGCGATCGCCATGCCACCACGGGCTAGTCGGCCTATACGCGTATTAACACCCTCATATTCTGAGGCAACCCTCGTATCCCGATACAGATTTTCCGAGCAAATCCTGCTCGTAATCCGAAAAAACTCGTAACCAGGGGCACTCGCAAGCCGAGGTGTGTGTGTGTGTGTGTGTGTGTGTGTGTTTGTGCGCTCGTTCATTCGTTCGTTCGTTGTCGTTACTATAAGTTCTAAGTAAACATGAGGATGGGCTGCCTTTTACCTCTTCCACGTTTTCATTTGTCTAGTGTTTCTGGTGTTCTGTTATCTACTTTGACATCAATCTAAGAGTTTGGTGGGGTAACTGGAGGCTTGTAGCTGGAAAGATGGGGTAACTCAAGGAGCCATGGAAGAGGGCACCAGAAAACGGCACTTCTTTACATTCAGTGCTGGATTTCTGTCAATTATGTGTACAAATATTATATTGTGTAAACTAGTAAATGAAGTATCAAACATAGCAAGAAAGACAGATTTTCTTTCTTTATCATATATGCGAGGTAACAATTGTAGTGATATAATAGCCACATTCTGAGGAATAATATTAAATTATATGCATCATTGTAAATAAGCTAGAATTATAACTACCTTGTATAAAAATTTTAAAGAAAATATATATTGCTAATTTTTTTTCCCCAGGTTTTGTACAGTATCTTTTGTTCATGTATCAACGTGGCTGCCTCTACAGACTCAAAGCTCTCGGGGAACGTCACAATATGGACATAACTGTTGAAGGCTTTCACCACTGGATGTGGCGGGGTCTTGGCTTCATCATACCTTTCCTCTTGATAGGATATATGTGGGAGCTTTATAATGCCTACACACTCTACCTCCTCTCCTTTGCTGACAATGCAGAATGGCATGTAAGTCTGATCATTATAGTTCAATGTGTTATTGGCATGCCTTGTTGCTTTGCTTGTTGTTTAAACTGTGAAGCAATTAGAATACATTTGTAACACTGGTATTATCTTTAAAAGGAGGATGGTAAACCCACCACAGATTATAATAGATATAAATGGCACCTCACTTGGACAAACTTATTGGGACTGGACCTGTTCTGTTCTATCAAGGATTCAGGTCCACAAAGAGCTTCCCAATTTTTGTTAAAGTTGTTTCTTAGGGGAGCCCCCGTCGAGACTCTGAAACTGACTGACTGATATTCCATATATTAGTCTAGAGCATCACAGTTACTTGGAGCTCTTACGTACCAGAAACCAGAACCTGGTTCCATCAGAGAGGCATAGGGAGCAATGGCTTGTGAACATTCCACTTTGTGATAGTATAATCATGTCTGCCATTGACTGGAGGTATCGCCCAGAAAGGTAGAACCATTACAAACGCCTACTGGTAAAACATTGCAACCCAAGACAGAACCGAGCCCAAGCACTCCCCCCCCCCCCCTCTCCCAAGAGGAAACGACAAACAATCAAATGTCCAATCGACTAGCGCGCCTGCTCGTTAGTGATATAGCTATTTTGTACATGCCACCACCAGGGAAGGCACCCAGAAAGTCATTGAGACAAAACATCCCATTATTGTGATGGGATCATCACAATGGTTGTACTCTTCAAATCACTTGTGTTGTCCTGTCTTCAGTACTGCTCAGTACTTGCTTCCCCCTTCAGAGCAGGAGAGATTGCTGAAATAGAGGGCATACAGAGAACATATACGACACGCATAGTCGAGATAAAGCACCTAAATTATTGGGATCGTCTCGAAGCTCTTCAAATGTACTCGCTAAAAAGGAGATGAGAGAGATACAAAATAATTTACACATGGAAAATACTGGAGGGACAGGTCCCAAATCTGCACAGTAAAATAACAACGTATTGGAGTGAGCAATATGGAAGAAAATGCAGAATAGAACCAGTGAAGAGCAGAGGTGCCATAGGCTCAATCAGAACACTGTGTAAACATCAGAGGTCCGCGATTGCAAAACGTCCTACCAGCGAGCATCGGAAATATTGCTAGAACAACCGTGGACATCTTCAAGAGAAAACTAGATTGTTTTCTTAAAGGAGTGCCAGACCAACCAGGCTGTGATGTTGACCAGACCACACACTAGAAATTGAAGGGACGGCGACGTTTCGGTCCGTCCTGGACCATTCTCAAGTCGATTGTGATGAGGACAGGTAGGAGCTGCCTCGTATGGGCCAATAGGCCTGCTGCAGTTCTCATTACTACTATCCCCTACACCTGACTTTCCTCCTCAGCTCTCTCTTGCCTATTTAATGCCTGTCCCTACCTGTCCTCATCACAATCGACTTGAGAATGGTCCAGGACGGACCGAAACGTCGTCGTCCCTTCAATTTCTAGTGTGTGGTCTGGTCAACATACATCAGCCACGTTATTGTGACTCATCGCCTGCGCAGGCTGTGATGGGTATGGGGGCCTGCGGGCCGCTCCAAGCAACAGCCTGGTGGACCAAACTTTCACAAGTTAAGCCTGGCCTCGGGCCGGGCTTGGAGTTGAAGAACTCCTAGAACCCCATCAAGCAGGTATCGAGCAGGTGTATGTGCCGCCTGAACCGTCCTGGTCTTTGGATTAGGTGCTCTTTTCTCTCTTCTCCTCGGTTTATTGTGGTCCCTTTGGTTCAGAAGTGCTTCAGGAGGGCATTGTTTTTGTTGGCTTTGTGCGCCAACTCTGGGGGTCAGGTTGGGGAGCTTCGAGCTCTTCTCCAGCATAGAGGTGTCTGCTCCTTTGTCCTTTGGGGCAGTTTGCTCATTTGCAGCTGTCTCCTTGTCTTCTGGTGAAGAATATGGTGGGCTTCCAGACGGGTCCGTGGGTTATAGATGCTTGGTTGGTCAGGCCGGGGGGGTGCATCATGTTTTGTGTTCAGTTGCGGCTCTTCGCCGTTCCCTGCGCTCCTCGGACTGTGTGTCCGGGGACACGCTTTTGGGTTGATCTTGGTTTCCCTCTTTGCCTGTTCCAGGGCTCGGGTCTCTCAGATTGTCTGCAGGGTTATCAAGTCTAGTCAGCCTGCAGTCTACCCTCGTGCCCATGATGTGCGGAAATTTGCAGCTCTTGATGTGGTTTTTGGCAACATGTCCTGGGCTTACATAGTACTGATTTCTACTTTCTAACTGCCTTTTACATCAGTGTGTATGATGGTCCTCATCATTACTTTAAGCACTACCTACACGAGAGGATGGGCTGCATATTTCCATCCATCTCGTCTATTCCTTTCAGTATCATACATATCTTGAGGTCATCTTGAGATGATTTCGGGGCTTTTTAGTGTCCCCGCGGCCCGGTCCTCGACCAGGCCTCCACCCCCAGGAAGCAGCCCGTGACAGCTGACTAACACCCAGGTACCTATTTTACTGCTAGGTAACAGGGGCATAGGGTGAAAGAAACTCTGCCCATTGTTTCTCTCCGGCGCCTGGGATCGAACCCAGGACCACAGGATCACAAGTCCAGCGTGCTGTCCGCTCGGCCGACCGGCTCCTGGTACATATTGTGACATCACTTGCGGTATTTCTTTAAATTGTGGTTAGGGTTAATTGTCTTAGTCTTTATTTACAGCTCGACTTTCTTGCCTCTGGATACTAGTCTCGCAGAAAATTTCCGAATGCTCTAAAAGATTCCTTTCTTAGATTTCTAAATGCCATTTGTATGTTTACATAGTATTTTGTTAAGGCTTCACTATTACTTTATATACCTGGTTACCTGGTAGATGGGGTTCTGGGAGTTCTTCTACTCCCCAAGCCCGGCCCGAGGCCAGGCTCGACTTGTGAGAGTTTGGTCCACTAGGCTGTTGTTTGGAGCGGCCCGCAGGCCCACATACCCATCACAGCCCAGTTGGTCCGGCACTCCTTGGAGGAATAAATCTAGTTTCCTCTTGAAGATGAAGATATGTTCCTCTTGTACAAGTCTAGCGTTATGTCCACTGTTCATCTCATTCAGCCTCTTGAAATAGCCTTCTTATATCATACTTCATATCCCCACTTTACAATTTAAATAGTTTAAAATTGTTGTTAGGACTAAACAGCAATCGTTACAAGGAACAAATTATCACTAATCGCCCAATTAAAAACAATTGTGCCAGATTCATTTCTACCCACTAGCATTCTTGTATTCTGACATGAAATTCTTGTATATGAAATCTATGAATTATGAAAATTCATATTAAATATGAATTCTTGTATTCATACTTTAGAAATTAAGAATTGATGCGATTGCCTCAACCTTTACCGAGTGTTCCATTTGTTTACATATTTCACTACATTAAACATTTGCCTTCATTCTTTCGACTCTTCTGTGTACTGGGTGTGTCTGCAACTGTGATCACGTGTTGTGCTTTTCCTCAATTACAATCGACTTCATTCATGCACTACATCCGTTCCCCAAAGTATCTTGTACACTATGATCATATTACAGCTGGTCCTTCACTCTTTTAGTGTCATAGGATGGTTCTCTTGGCTTGTCCTCATGGTTTAACTTTTATTGCTAGCACTTATCTCAGTCTTCCTGCTTTATACAATATGATAGATGCAAAAATGGTAAAGAATTATGGTTGGGATGTAAATAGTTACCCAGGGTAGTGGGTGCCACAGTCAATGTGGTGTATGCTGATCTGGTGCCTTTTGTATTTCTCTCCATATTATGCATGCTAACAACTCCAGTTGAATCTTGCTTTCACATACTAAGAAAGATTTTCAAATTACTTTTTAACTTTAATTAGCTTTTGAGTAGTTTCAAAATATATAAAGTACAGTGTACCACCTTTTAAAGGACAGGTTCATACCAGATTCCGGAACAATTAAATTTCTAATCCATTCAACAATTGATAATTTTGCTATTTTATACCAAATCTTACTTCCTTATATGCAGTGAAACATGATATTGAACACATTTAAATTCCACAATTACTTAGAAAAAAGTAAATTGTTCACTTTTTTTTTTTTCCAAATTTTATATCAGATTCTGGTCCAGTGAATTCAGACACTTCACTGGACATTTACGATCACTGTATTCAGTAACACGAAAAAATCATACATCTGGAATAGAATCGTTCTAGTGCTTCCATTTTCCTACTGTACCGAGTTCCATTTGAGTAAGAGTTACACTGTAATGAATAGTACTGTACTATAACAGAGTTGCCAAAAGGGGTTGTACTGCTTAAGCCCACCAAGCTCTTTGCAACACGTTAGGTGATGTATTTTTGGCAATAAAATTTGTGTAATATACTGTTCCAGGAAATTATTAATAATAATGCATTTTACATCAATGTTGGCACGTTTTCTAATTCCTTTAATATTTGTGCATTATCTTCTTTGATTTCAGGTATCGACACTGGCCATTCTGTTTCTCGTACTCTTTCTGGGAAACACCCTCACTACCCTATCAGTCATTCCTCAGAAGATCAAGGAACGCATGAAATTCAAGTATCGCTTCACTCGCCTTGATAAGTACATCTGGACACACAAAAAACGACGTGTGTCATTCAGGTTTGTTGTCCGATTGCTTCGTCTTAACCCCTTAACTGCGTTGCCTCCAAATGTGACACCCCCGCAGTGCGCAGGAAATAAATTCTCTGGAAAAAATTCTTTTTTCTTTTTAAAGTGTCAAAAACCCTTCCCTCAGTATGGGTATATAAAAAAAAAGTCGAAATTTTACTTACTTTGGCTGCTATGGGGTCCGGAAGTTGGGGCGTGACGTCATCATTCCCCGTGCGCCCGTGCCGTAAGCTCTCAGGGGCGGTGGGGCGCTCGGGGCGGGGCGCGCGAGTTGCCGCGAATATATTTTCATTCATTTTTTGCGCACCTTTCCAAATACATTTTCATTGTTTTTATGTGCCAATCCAATGTATAATGAACACGTACACTATAATATCGCAGTACAACATCCGTACTGTCCGTAGACATTGTGTTACGTGCATGAAACTTGTGTACACATATGCAGCACATATTTACTATGTATCATGCTAATTTGTGTATATATACAATCTATTTACACACTATACACTGTCACACACTATATACATTCACCATCAACACATTCAGAACACCGCGTAGCAGCTGCTTCGTATGGGCCAATAGCAACTGCCCCGTATGGGCCAATAGCAGCTGCCTCGTATGGGCCAATATCAGCTGCCTCGTATGGGCCAATATCAGCTGCCTCGTATGGGCCAATAGCAGCTGCCTCGTATGGGCCAATAGCAGCTGCCCCGTATGGGCCAATAGCAGCTGCCCCGTATGGGCCAATAGCAGCTGCCCCGTATGGGCCAATAGCAGCTGCCTCGTATGGGCCAATAGCGGCTGCCTCGTATGGGCCAATAGCGGCTGCCTCATATGGGCCAATAGGAGCATTTGGCCATGAACACATTCAGAACACCTCGAGTGAGAGCAGCCAGTCTCCCTCACTCCAACATCTTACTCGCCAACATTGCTCATCCCACCATATTGTTATAGTTCTTATTACACATGTTCTATATACCTATCTACATGTTTTATTTACCAGAACTATGCAAGTAAGCCGGTATTGTGTCCAAACAGAACAGTGGCCACAATACACTGCATGAAAAATCACACAGCAGACGACGCTACGATTACGTCACCTCCCTCACCAAAATAGCTCCTCTCAACATTCTCCTGTTGCTGTTCTTACACTATATATACCCATGTACATATGTGTTGCCCATAGCGAACCACTAAGCTAGTATGGTGAGCAAAACAAGAGTGGCAGCCACACACACGATGAGGTTACCTCAATTCTCGCCCTCCCTCCCTCATCAAAATTCCTCCTTCCACAATACTACGCACAACGCTAATTATAACCACAATCCTGCTATTATCACAATCCTGGTCACTAATTCCTGTAAATGAATAATTGACCACACATATATTTTGAAAAGGAACCTAAGAAATCATTTGAAGATTCCTAGATGAACGAAATAATGCTGTGGTGCTGTGGCTAGCGCTGTGAACATCGTGAACAGCATTGAATCACTGATATTTGAACATTGTACCCAGTCATTATCACATTCAGGCTCTAATATAACACTATCATAGCTAAATAATACAAGTTATATATACATTTTGACATTATTAGGCGATGCTGTGGTCACATGCTGAACAGCAGTGCTGTGCGCTCATGCTGCGAGCGCCAGCCTTGGTTGCTCACATACTACTAAGGCTCCCACACCCGGGAATGTGGACCACGATTTTTTTTAAAGATGGCGTCTGTTTACAAGAGCCCTGAGGAAGCTGATGTGAACCCCATGTAGTTGCGGAAGTTTTGAATGGAACGTGAAAAATACAAATACCCGGAGGCGCGTTGCGCAAACCAGACGTGAGCCTGCAGGCGCGTTGCGCAGTTTAAAGGTTAAAGGTTTTATGCAAATATAATGGGCCTTTATATATTAGGTATAAATGTCCCAGGAAATGTGCATCATGAATACATGGGTAATGTAAGGTGACAACCCATCCTCCTCTTTAGATAGTAACAATTGTGATGATCATTATTAGTCATGAATTGGTACCTACTTAACTTTAACATAGTAGTATACTGACTTGTAAGGAATTCTTTTATAACAAAATTAAGCTAAAATAACAAACTTTAATATTCCTAGGCCTAGTATAGTACATGTGTACTATATTATGCCTCAGATATCATGTATTAGGCCTAGAAAGGTCTAGGTAGGTCTAGTTTCTTTGCAATACAAGTAGAAAATAGTTTTCCGGTTTGTCCATCTCAATAGTGCCGCTTTCTAATTTCATTGTACGTCGATGTGTATATATACAGTACAGTACTATGGCCCTCGTCGTTACTATTAGTACAGTGGGGCCCTCAACTTGCTAATTTAATCCGTTCCCAGAGACGGGTTGTAAGTAAAAAAATTTGTATGTCGAAACATATTTTCCCATAAGAAATACTGTAATGTAAATTAAATTAATCCGTTCCACACCTCCAAAAATATTAACTTAAAAAATCCATCTTATACCAAATAACACTCCTTCTGTACTAGGTACAATACAGTACTGTGTGTATATCTTGCCTTGAATGAAGCCTCTTGTTGGCGTATGGAAGACGGTGAGGAGGAGAGGTGTTAGCGTTTGGAAGGAGAGTCCCCTTCCATTATAACATCAGGCAGTGATGACTTTTCTGGGGTACACTCACTCACTCACTCACTCACTCACTCACTCACTCTGTGTGTGTGTGTGTGTCATACCACTGAGGAAAAATTGAAACGAATTTTCTTAAGTACTTCGTATATTAATGCATCTTCAGAGGTCATTTAGAGGTCAAGTATTAGACATATATAGGCAGGAGAGAATGGTGGAGTGAGGTGAGGTACAATGACAAATGAATGGGAATTAGGCGGACACAAATATGAGCTGCAGAAGGCCTATTGGCCCATACAATGCAGCTCCTATTCATACCCACCAGTAGGCTCACACATGGATAATAATAGCACAAGATAGTAAATATTTACAATGATTTAGTGAGACAAATGTGTATCAATGATCCTACTCAAATCGCCCTTTAATTGATCTATCGAAAATGGATCCTAGTTATATACACGCACTGATTATAGATCAATTAAAGGGCAATTTGAGTATGATCATTGATACACATTTGTCTCGCTAATGCATTGTAAATATTTACTATCTTATGCTGGATGTACATGAGGATAAGAATGCTGGAAGTGCTACCTCAGTTGCATTTCGTATGCCTATTCCCCCCAAATCTCGCTGGTAGTGTTGCTTGGTCCCACTGACTGTCATCTAAATCTAGGTTGAGCGCCTTCCTGAATATTGACCCGAGGAGCTCATCATATTTAGAAGTGGGTTGCCAAAAGTTGGTGCACACCTTAAGAAATATATTAGCCTGCGCAAGGTAAGCCACTTTGTGAGAAGGTAGAGGGCATCATGGGAGTCGGTTCCCTATTCTCGCTTCCATCCTATTTAGGTCGTTAAACTTTTCGTCAAGCACTGCAGCAATGGCATTGTGGCCCAGAAGTGCTCAAAGTAGTGTGCTGTCGGTGGGTTTAATGACTGAGGCTTCTGGTAAAACTGATTTCACTGCTCTAATGATTACCTCACTGGATGCAATAATTTCGCACTTGGAGGGGTTAAGGATGAGACCCATGATCTCCCCCCGTGTCTTCACCAGCTGCAGTCTTCCAGCAGGGAATCTTGTGTGCCTGCCAGAGTACCATCATCCAGGAACCAGATGTTGAGCTCACTGGACAGACTGGCTGTAATTTCTCAAATCGCTATGCAAAAGAGGAAGGGTGCAAGTGGGTCTCCCTGTTGAATTCCCTCTGCTGAGGTGACTTCATGTTTGCCAAACAGGAGGGTTGAGTCTTTGCTGTAGCCTGCTGACACAAACGGGAGAATGCTTGGGCAATGTTCCTGGACTGCGATGAGGACTGCTTCTCTTTTGACAGAGTTGAAAGCGTTCTTAAAATCTAATTTTACTACTGCCTGGTCTTCAGTAAGAGAGCTAATGTAGGCTCGTGCAGCATGGGCCGCTGCTTCACAGCCATGGGGGACTCCAAGGCTGTGAGGCTTGTGTGGCATGGGCCGACTCAGAGCTTGAAGCTTTGAGTCGGTTGCGCACGCCATTCAAGCACCGTGAGTTGCCACAAATATATTTGCAATTTTCTGTTGTATGTATTTCCAATGCGGTTTTATGTTTGTTTTTTATCATATATGATGCATATTTGTGTTCTTTACAATATGTATACAGTAGAACGTTCATAATGTTCCATGGAACTGCGATACATGTGTCAGTAATGTTTTCACAATAAATGTTTATTGTCGCAATATTACTTGTTCAAAATTCACTAAATTACAATATGTACAGTTTCACACTTTACACAGTAATGCACTGTTTTACACACTCAGTACTTCGGAAGCGAGTGATAATCAATGAAACAGTTCATGGTACACAGCGCTACTTCGCTCTCGATGCACCAGGTACAAACAGATTTTCGCTTCCTGTTTCTTTGTTCTGTGTGCTTGCAAAAAACACTCGTATACACCCTTGGCTTTAATACCTGTAGGTGTTGTGTAGCCAAGCTTGTGAAGTGTAAGATAGTCTTGAAAAGATCACTTTGTAAGGTATTCTGGAAGAGATTCAGCCATTCTGAAAGAGATTCGGCTATTCTTGACAAGATTGATGGAAAACACCACCATGGAAGCCGCTATCACTGTTCATCTATGCTACTTGTATTGGATGCATCATCACCGAATCGAAAAAACGATTCATCTATGTATCGTCTATAAAAAAAAAATTGGAGATAACACGGGTGAGCAAGGGTGGAGCTCGGCTACAACTGGATACACTCGCTGTATCGTCCTCATTTGGTGCTGTATCACTTGCACCCGACCCTTGTGTTAGGTTCTTATTGTGCCTAGCTTCATCAATATCATGACCCTCATGTTCTTCAAACAATAAGGTCTGAATTTCACTGACGGAGAGCGATCTTTCAATACCGCATCCGACAGGTGTTTAGGAGCTAGAGGTGCGTGCGCCACCCTTGGTTGCTCATTCAGAAGTGATCCTGCCAGCCCTAGGGAGATCTGGAATTTTTTTTCAAGATGGCCGCCTCTCACTGAAGGTCCCAAGAGTCCATTTCGTACCCAACATACTGCAATCACATTTCGACTGTGCACGAAAAAATAAAAAATACAGGGGTACCTCAATTTACAAATTTAATACATTCCTGGAGACGGTTCGCAACCCGAAAATTTATGAACCGAAGAGACTTTCCCCATGAGAAATAATGGGAAATGAATTAATCCGTTCCAGACTCCCCCCAAAAAATTAACTTCAAAGTAAACTTAGTACTTACCTTTACTGATGACTCCTGTTGGCATATGGAAGACGGTGAGGAGGTGGGAGGAGAGGTGGTGTTATTGTTTTGAAAGGGAGTCCTCTTCCATTATAACATCGGGCAGTGAGGACTTTTCTGGGGCGCACTCTGGCACGTTTTGCCTGCATACCACTTGGCCCTGCTTCTGACTCGCTGCATGATTTTCTCAGTTTTTCTTGAAGATTGTTTTTCCCTTTGTAACACTTGTCTGTAGTGAGACATCACATTGTCATTAATAAGATCAATGCAACGGCCTGCTAAAGCTTTATCCGAGTGATTCTTTTCAGCAAAACTTTGCAGTTCCCATATTGCACACATTTTCTTAATGAGGAAGGGACATCCTCTACTGCCTCCTCCTCCTCCCCTGAAGATTTGTTATACTGCCTAGCTAGTTCAACTGTTTTTCCTCTACGGTCATTCTCACATGTATTTTCTTGCCTTGAACCTTACCACTGGCTTTCTTGGGACCTATGGCGAGATATACAATAACTTTTATGTTCAAATAGCCAAAAATCCAAAAAAAAAAACTAAATCCTTGCAAAGATTTCGGGCGGGATAGTTACTAGGCGGGAGGCACTGGGAAACTGAGACGCGATCACCGTGCTTGGCCAGCCATACGCGTATCGACAAACTCGTATCCCGAGGTAAAGTTCGTAAAGACGGGCATTCATAAACAGAGGTACCACTGTACTTTTGTTGGGTGACTCAGTGCACTGGTTAACGTGATGGGAAGAATTAGTCGTTGGTGGCACAGTGGCAACACACATTCGCCTTGCATCTCACGAGAGATAAGTTCTAGGTTCAAGTCCTGTCCAGGAAGGATTGACAGAGTGCCAATCATTAACCGTTTGCCTCTGTTCACCCAGCGGTAATTCCATACCTGGTTGTTAATGGATTGGTGGATCTTGTTCCAGGTAAAACTAGTAGGTAAGGCTTGCTATGAGAAGAAAAGCTCTCGGCTTGCAAACAAGAGTCAGAAGTTCTGTTGTTGTACTGTACTTATATATATTAATGATTACCACAGGAATCCAGAGTCCCCTCAGCGACGTACTCCAGCTGCCCGAGCTGCTTCATTCTCCTACAAAAGGCGAGAGGTCACGGAAGAAGACGAGGCTCTAAATTCCCCTATGCCACAGGTACTGATAAAATTGTCTGCTATGTTAGAGACTGGGTAGTAGTCTGTGTGCTCAAATATAAAATTAATGAGTATCTGGTAGTACTGAAAAGTTAGTTATTGAAAGTTAGCACCGAGTAATATTAAATTATTTTGATATAAAAGAATGTTGCTTGGAAAATGAAAGTGGAAAGTAAGAGGGGCAATATGTGAAGGTATTACTTGGGAAAAGGGGGTGAGACAGACAAGATTGCTTGCTGAATGACCTTTCCAATAACTTATGTTAATTGCATGTTAATTTTTTTTTTTTTTTACTGCTGCCTCATAGTTGTAGGGAGCCTTAAGGGGGCATTAGGTTGGTGTCGGAATAGTTGTTCAATGTCAACCAATATTATTTGACTAGTTGTATATGAAAAGTGCTGAAATTGGCCCAAGTTTCAGTACTGCAGTGTAAATAGAAAGGGAGTTTTTTTTATTTTTATTTTTTTTTCTCTCAACGTTTTTTTACTCATTTTCAAGTCTACACTTCAGAACACACGTTTCAGATATAATTATTCTGTGACAATTTTCTGACACATTAACATATAATAAAGGACCCTGAGATAGAGAATTTCCAAAACATCTTTAGTTTTCCTAATACAAATGTTCAAAGTTCCCCCCCAAAAATTATGCAAATATGGCATGTTTATTGCTATTATAAAATCAATAAATGAACTTAGAGAAAAATGAAATCTCACCAATGTAGAGAGATGCCCTCCACATATACTGTGTAAGTTTCATGTAAATTGAATAAAAAATGAATTAGTTTTGTAAACATTTGTCAATTGGAAAAAAAAAACAAAAATAATAAAGTCTAAGGTTCTAAAATCTGTGGCTGAGGTTGACATCAACCAATTTTCTCCAAAATTGGCATCCTTACAGATAGGCTTACGTACAATCAGGTGTGTAAATTTGATGCAAATCGTCCAAAAAAAGTGAAAAAAAAAAATTTTGAACAAAAAAAAAACTTTTTTTTTTTTCTTAAAATTTTTTCCAGTTAAACTAATTATAATATTTGTTTAATATATGCTATTGTGATAGCAAAGAGTCATAGCTATGATTTCAGTTGACACTTTTGATTGATAATCGATTTTGACCATTTTGGCATAATTTTCACGACTACTTCAATATTTTTTTTTCTCCCTTCCTATTTATGCTACGATGCTGAAACTTGGACCAGATAAAACACTTTTCATATAGAACTTGTCAAAAAAGTTTGATTGAAATCGAACGAGTTTTCATTTATTGCATTTTTGGAACCTAATGCCCCCTTAACCATTTTTGGGGAAGGCCAAACAGTGGCTCCCTGAAGCTAGATATACTGTGATGGCTCACACGAGTCACACCTGTCCTATGATTTTGTGATAGACTAGCAGAGACCCGAGCCAGAACCTGGACCAGTCAGAGGTGCAGGCAGCTTGGTACAGTTATGATCACCCTCACCAAGGAAACATCCAGAAAGTAAATGAAGCAAAATGAACAACTGCAAGGTTAAAGAGAGAAGAAATAAAGCAGCAAACGACTCCTTAAATGATCCATTCAGTAGTCGGTTCTTACTGACTATCCATATATGTACATGAATGAGATTGGGTGGATATGAACAGGCGTATTGTCATATGGGCCAATAGGCCTTCTGCAGTTACCTTCATTCTAATATTCTTACCTCCCTAGTTACAGTTGACCACCAACAGGTGGCAGGACCACTGAAAGCTGCCAGATCTGCATGTCAACACAACTCTGTTTGGACCTTTCCTTGAGATGTCAGCCTTTTTGGGTCCCAATTAATTCTTGATAAGCATTAGTCGTCTTTTGGACTGTCGTGTGGGGGGGGGGTTCCATTTCTATATGTATCACTCAAACGTTGTGTTTGCTTCATGTAATTTCCCAGGTGTAGTTACACGATGATCTACGCTCGTGGTGTCCCATCTTCCTGGCACTCGTTGTCATATAACACTTTGAAATGACTGCTGGTTTTGGCCTCCACCACCTTCTCACCTAACTTATTCCAACTGTCTACCACTCTTTGCAAAAGTGAATTTTCTTATTTCTTTGGCATCTTCCTTTAGTTAGTCTAAAGCCATGACCTCTTGTTCTTGAAGTTCCAGGTCTCAGAAAATCTTCCCTATCGATTTTATCAATTCCTGTTACCATTTTGTATGTAGTGATCATATCACCTCTTTTCCTTCTTCTAGTTTTGGCATATCTAATGCCTCTAACCTCTCTTCGTAGCTCTTGTCCTTCAGTTCTGGGAGCCACTTAGTGGCATGTCTTTGCACCTTTTTCCAGTTTGTTGATGTGCTTTTTCAGATATGGTCACCATACAACAGCTGCATATTCCAGCTTTGGTCTAACAAAAGTCGTGAACAATTTCTTTAGTATTTCGCCATGCTTGTATTTAAAAGCAATTCTGAAGTTAGAAGTTAGACTTCTTTAAAGATTTCTCACGTAATTTATAGGTTGTGTGGGGTCTATGTTCTGTTCCACATTGCATAACATGGCATTTATTCACATTAAATTCCATTTCCCAAGTGGTTCTCCATATACTTATTCTGTCCAGGTCTTCTTGAAGGGCATGACAATCGTCTAAGTAACTTATCTTCCCTATTATCTTAGCATCATCAGCAAACATGTTCATATAATTCTGCATTCCATCTGGTAGATTGTTTATGTAGACAATGAACATTACCTGTGAACGAACAGAACCCTGTGGTACTCCACTTGTGACATTTCTCCTGTCTGATACACTTCCTTCATTTTTCTATCAGAAAATTTTTCATCCATGTTAGCAGGTTACCTGTGGCCCCTCCAATGTGTTCCAGTTTCCAGAACAACCCCTCATGTGGAACTCTGTCGAAAGTCTTTCAGCCCCCCCCCCCCCCAAAGTCCAGATAGATGCAATCAACCCAACCATCTCTTTCCTGTAAAATCTCTGTGGCTCGATCATAGAAACTGAGTAAATTCATTACACAGGATCTTCCAGGTCGAAAACCAAACTGACGGTCTGATATTATAGTGTTTGTCTCCAGGTGTTCTACCCATTTAGTTTTAATTATTTTTTCCAATATTTTGACTATTACACTTGTCAACGATACAGGTATATAATTGAGGGGGTCTTCCCTGCTGCCGCTTTTGTAGATTGGAACTGTTAGCCTTTTTCCACATGTCTGCTACGACTCCTGTATACAGGGAAGTCTGAAAAATAAGTTTAAGTGGAATGCTTAGCTCAGATGCACATTCTCCCAGAACCCATGGTGAAACTCCATCTCAACCGTGAAGAGCTCAGTCCCCCAGGGTACTGTGCTTGCTCCAGTACTTTTTCTCATCCTCATATCGGACATAGACCAGAACACAACCTATAGCACTGTATCATCCTTTGCAGATGACACTAGGATTTTCATGAGAGTTGGCAACATAGAGGACACGGCAAACCTCCAATCAGATGTTGATCAGGTCTTTCTATGGGCTACAGAAAATAATATGGTATTCAACGAGGATAAGTTTCAGCTCATGCGCTACGGAAAAATTGAAAACATAAAAACAGGAACCACGTACAAAACGCAGGCAAATCATAACATAGAACGAAAAGGCAATGTAAAGGACCTGGGTGTACTCATGTCGGAAGACCTTACCTTTAAAGAACACAATAAAGTAGCCGTCACAACTGCAAGAAAAATGACAGGTTGGATAACAAGAACTTTTCACACTAGAGATGCTATACCGATGATGATACTTTTCAAAACGCTTGTGCTATCTAGAGTGGAGTACTGCTGCACAATGACAGCCCCTTTCAAAGCTGGAGAAATTGCTGACCTAGAGAGCGTGCAGAGATCCTTTACTGCTAGAATCCACTCGGTAAAACATCTAAATTACTGGGACCGACTAAAGAGCCTAAATCTGTACTCCCTTGAGCGCAGGCGGGAGAGATACATAATAATTTACACGTGGAAAATAATTGAGGGGCTGGTCCCAAACCTGCACACAGAAATAACACCACATGAGACCAGAAGACATGGCAGGATGTGCAGAATACCCCCGTTGAAAAGCAGAGGTGCAACAGGTACTCTGAGAGAGAACTCTATCAACATCAGAGGCCCGAGACTGTTCAACACGCTTCCACTACACATAAGGGGCATAACTGGCAAACCCCTCACAGTGTTCAAGAGAGAACTGGATAAGCACCTCCAAAGGATACCTGATCAACCAGGCTGTGACTCATACGTCAGGCTGCGAGCAGCCGCGTCTAACAGCCTGGTTGATCAGTCCAGCAACCAGGAGGCCTGGTCGACGACCGGGCCGCGGGGACACTAAGCCCCGGAAGCACCTCAAGGTAGCCTCAAGGTAGGTAGGTAGGACCAACTGCTTTGTTCTTACTTGGCTCCTTGAGCATATTTTCCATTTTGTCTCTTAAGACACCTCTATGTGCTCTATGTTGTTCTCTGGAATTCTTATGATGTCTGGTTCTCTGAAGATTTAATTTTGTACAAATACACTTTGAAAGTTTTGTTTAAAAGGGAACGTGTGAAACATTAATTTTACGTGACTGTTTCCCATTTTCAACCTCTGGATATTATCCTTTACCTGCAATTTGTTTATGAATTTGTAGAATAGGCCTGGTTCTGTTTTACATTTGTCTGCTATACCGTTTTCAAAATTTTTCTTCCGCTCTCCTTACTGCTGTGTAGTTGTTTCTCGCATCTTTGTATCGCTGGTATGTTTGGGGGTTTGGCTTCTTTCTATATTGATTTCATTTTTTTGTCTTTTGGTCTCTGGTGCCTTCTCAATTTCTGTTGAACCAGTCCAGTTTTCTGGCCCAGCATCTCTGTTTAGGTATGAATGTTTGTCTTCATCATTTATTTTGGAAAATTTGGCATACCTCTACATTTACTCATTTACATCCCCTTCCCTCATTCTTGTGGCCTGCTTGATGTGTTGATACAAGAATGTCTACAAAAGGAGGTTTACAAATCTGCCTGTCCAAATGTCCTCCGTTCTTGCTACATAGGCCTCCCAGTCTATTGCTTTAAAGTTGAAGTCCCCCAGTATCAACAGTCGTGATTTATCTTTACAGTATCTGCTTGTACTGTACAAGGAGCACATTACTGTACCACATTATTTCTCTCGTGACCATTATGAGGCCCTTTTGTTTGTCATCCGATTCTTCCTTTATCCATGTGTTGCTTGCTGGTGGGCTGTAGGCATTTACAATTATCAGTTTGTCATCCTGATTCCAGACCTACAATGCCATTATGTCAACTTCTCGAGGGTTTTTAAGTATTGACTCTCTTACCTTCATGTGTTCTTTCAGCAGCACAGCCACTCCTTTCAACCCCCCCCCCCCCCCCCCCCATCCCCTCCCTTTCCTAGTTTTCCTGTCACGTCTCCAAACTGAGTAGTCCCTTCAGAATATGACTTCATTTAAAATACTATCTTCAAGTTTCATCTCTGATGATGCGTTAATATCTGGGACCTTAAGCTGAATCTATGTTGGTACAGTATATACAGTTTTCTGGAACATGTTCCCTTTCCCTTTGTTCTTTCCTCCCCCTTCCATTAATGATTTTCTTGTCTTGTTTTCATGTACCATTTCATTAGCTTTCCAGTCCCTGACACTTTGTAGAAAAAAGAATGTCTTCATTTCTATTCCCATTTAGATGTTTTGTTTCAATGAGGTTCATTTTCAGCGTTTCTGTGTCTTCGTTTGAGAGGCATTTTGACCAAAGTTTGCCAACCTCATCACTGCAATTTCCTGGCATTTCTAAGCACTTCCATCATGTTTTTCACTCCATTAACTGTCACCCTTAATGGGCAGTTCTTGTCTCTCATATTTTCCTACTCTTTTAAAATCACTGGCATTTTCCTTTTGAGTTTAGGCCTTTTCCTAAATCTACTATTTTCCCTTATGATTTTCATCTCTTCTGCTGCTCTGTCCACCCTAGATGAAATTTCCTTTTCCAAACAACCGAAGATTATTATGGACTTCAATCTGCAGTGTTTTGTGCTAGTTTACTGTTGGTTACCAGTTCTTTCCTAATTGCTTGCCTAATTTCTGCTTCTTGTTGGTCATTTCTGGTTTTAACTTCAAACACACTTCCTTGATTGTGTGTCTCTTACAACTTGTGCATACGTCACTCTTATTTCTTCTTTATACTTTTCTAGTTCTTTATTAACCTCCTCCTGTGAGTTGTCAATGAAGTTTCCAGTTGCATATCCTTGCCTAACTGTTAGCCCTCAGGGTTCCTTGGAGTTAATCACCATATGAGTCTATTTTCTTGTTTATTTCTTCACATTCACCACTCTTCACTTTCCATGCCTCCTTATCTTTTACTAGTTCCCTGATGTGTGCCTCCTGCATCCTTACCTTATCAGTCAAGCTGGTAATTTCCTTACCTTGCTGGAAAATACTTACTTTTAAATTGGAAAACTCAATCTTGAAACTTTCATTTTCTTGTTCTAATTTAATTACCTTTTCTTCATAATTCTTTAGCATGTCCTCAATAATCGCTAACCTGCCAAGAAAACCACCTTTCATTAGATCTTGTGCTGAGAATCCTGCAAAACATTCCTTTGTTGGTGTGCTGTCCTTCCCTGTGGTGGTGGCCATCTTTGTTGTTGACATTGCTGTATTGAAAGATAAACTTTTCTAGCCCAGATTTTTCATTCACTAACACTTATTTCTTACCTCTCAATTTCTTTCCAAATTTCCTACACCTTCATGTATTCTGGGACACCACTTGCAGCCCTCACCCTGCTCCCAACACTTAGACAAGTTGAATTATCCTGGAGCCTGCAGCAGTGTGACTCCTCAGTGTGATGCAGTGTGAACTTATCACACCGAGTGGAATGGTGGAATGCAGACTGTGCTTGGGCTGTCCACTGTAAGTGTGCAGTCTAGAAGAAACGCCATCGCCGGTGGACTCCCGATTCTTCTTTTTGTTTCGGAAGGCGAGTGTGGTGGCCCATACAGCTGGCCCATCTGTATGGCCAAGCATGAGAGTTGGAGATCTTAAGTTTCCACCATTACATCTGATGCTCTTCTGCCCCTGACCTGGAAGTAAATCCGCAAGATAGTGGGCAAGTTTGTTCCATATGTCTCGCCAGACCTTCACCTCCGTGGTTCTATTGTGGTGGATCCGGTGTCGGTCGCAACCAAACTGGGTTCACACTTTTTGACTGTTGACTACGGTTCTCGTCTTCCTCCTCCTTTCCATACTCGTAAGCCCCCTTCTTGAATCTTGTCCCTTAGATTTTTGCACTCGTCTTCAGCTTCCCTATAACAATCCTTTCTCTCAGAACTCCAGTCTGCTCTGGCCCTCTGCGGTTCTATGGCAGTGGGCTCGGATGATATTCATTATGAGGTGCTTTGCTATCTCCCACAATGCACATTTCATTATTTACTGAGTGTTTATAACAGTGTCTGGGAGTCGTCAGTCCCTAAGGACTGGCTTGAGTTGGTGGTTGTTCTTAATCGAAAACCTGGTTCTCTAGGGTCATCCCCTAGAGACTTCTGCCCCCAATTGTTCTAATGAGTTATGTCTGCAAACTCTTTGAACGTATGGTCAATGTCCATCTGGTGTGGTTTTTGGAACGCTATCACCACCTCTTACCTTCTCAATTTGGTGGTCTATATTTGTACTGTACTGCCTTTCCTGTGAAAAACCTCTGTGGTTGATGTCCTTTTTTACCTAGAAAAGGCAATGACACCACCTGGAGATGCCATGTTCTGACCCAACTCCGTTCTCTTGGCCTTCGTGGTAATCTCCCTCTCTTCCTACAGAGCTTCCTCTCTCTCTCTCTCGTAGTTTCTTTCGAGCAAGGCTTGGTACCACTCTGCCTCTTTTCAGCAATACGAAGGTGTACCCCAAGGTAGTGTTCCAAAAACTACTTTTCCCGATTGCCCTTAATGGTCTTTTCTTCCTTCCCTCCCTCTGGCATTTTCTCGGCTCTGTTGATGCTCTTACCCTCTGCTGTCAGTGATGACTCGCCTTTCCTCCAACGGTGGCTTTAACTTGTGATTGATGCAGTGTCGTCCTGAGGCCACCAATCATTGCTTCAAGCTCTTTACAACTAAGATTTGTGGTATGACCTTTACTTCATTCTTCGTCCCCCTCTGGCACTTTATGGTAATCTTCTTTTGTATAAGGATTCTGCTAAACTTCTGGGGTTAATCTTTGATTCTCGTTTGTCTTGGTCACCTCATATCTCTTACCTCAGAGTTGAATGATTTAAGGCCCATTACTTATGGTCTCGTCCCATACTTCATGGGGAGCCGATAAGTGCACGCTCCTCCTTTTATGTTCCTCTCATGCTGTCCAAACTTGATTATGGCTGTCCTGCTTACTCATGCCTCACCCTCGACACTTCATCATCTTGATGCTCTTCCCCATATTGGGCTGTGCCTCAGCTCTGGTGCCTTGCATTCGCCTCCTACCCAGAGACTGTGTGTGCTGAAACTGGCATCCTATCTCTACAGGATCACCATGATCGCTACTGTCTTCACTAGTTTGTGCGGTCCCTACAACACCCTCGCTCCGTCTTATATCGTACTTTGACCATTACCCCTCCTGTGGACCCTGTTCCTTTTCGCCACTTTCCCCTTTTCCCTTTCTGTAAGATTGTCTCGCTTGCAAGGTTCTCTCTCGGTTCGTGTTACCAATGTTTCTTCTTGTGTCGTTCCATCCTTGCCCCCACAAGTTGGGTGCTCTTAAGGGTATCATGACCTTATGTCCTTCCTCCTACCACCGTAACCACCAGTGGGAAATTGGCTCTGGCGAGGCTACGTATTGGCCATACCTGTTTAACTCACGGGCACTTAATGGAGCGCCACCCTGCTCCTTATTGTCCAAACTGCATTGTCCCTCTTATGGTCATGCATATCCTTGTTGAATGTCCTGCCTTCCAAGATGTGCGCGTGTCTTGCTTCCTGACTGTCCCTCCTGGTCACCTGTCCGTCGATAGAATCCTTGGTGAATCTGATGCCTTTGATGTTGTTTGCCTTGTGTACTTCTGTTCTTGTATTGGCATCATTTAGTGCCTTTTGAATATCCTGCACATTTGACGGTGTTACATAGCCTCCCTGGCTTGGGGCTTTCTTTTGATACTTAGGCACCCCAATTTTGGACCTCTTCATGTTGGCATGGAATCGTCGCCTTCCTCTTTACACAGCTCCGTTCCTCAGTCATAAGGAACATGCATATAATTATTACAGCCTCTGTACTCATAACTGTCCAGCTAGTTTCCCGAGAGATGCTGGCACATGGTTGTATTTCTCGATTGTCCACTAACAATTAAGGCATAGATGATTGCTGGTATTGATCACTATCATTGAAGAGGGAAAATATTTTGTCTTTGATAATTTTTACCAATGAAATTTTTAGGAGTTATTTTCTTTTCAGGAAAAGCAATTTGATAAGGAAAGTGAAGACCAGGCAGGTTGTGAAGAAACAGAGTTAAATCAAATTCTAGATGTTGTCACTAGAGATATTGACTTTATGAAGATTGACCAAGAGAATGACAATGACTCCAACACTGATGTTAAAGTGAATGAAGATAAGAGTGAAGATATTGGAGAAGTCAACACTGATGAAGCTCCTCTCCTGCATGATTCATTCAATGATGAAACAAAAAAGGACAAATAAATACCAGTTAAAAAGCAATCATTTTAATATCAAACTACAGTACTTTTGATGATAGATCTCTGTACTCATCCATTTACCAATAATATAAAAAGCATCAAAGATATGCATTAACAAAATACTGGTTTAGGTATATAGCAGTACTGTACAACTACAATTGTTAATAAATATTTGAAGGAGAGTGTTTCAGAGAGTGAAGGATGATAAGGTACATGTACTGTAGTTTGTACTTCCCACTTCCAATGCCTCTGTGGCTTGTGCAAGCTCAGAATGCATCTTGTCCATATATTCGGCAAGATTCCAGTGTGTCTGGACTTGCCAGTTTTGTTTCCATACAGTCCTCAGGTATTGATCTTGGTGTTCTTTTGTCTACTTGCCTGTCTGGTCTTCAGTAGAACTTTGGTTATCCTGTGTAGTTGGTAGTGAAAGATTGTGGTGCCTGTTTTGCCTCATTATAAATGTGCGGTTCTTCCAGCTGTTGATATTCAAAATATTATTCCATGGGTCCAAATTTTCAGGAACATCCATTTAATTCAGATATTCTTAACAGAAAGCTGTTTATTAATTTTTTGCCATGCTCTTCCTTCAGAAATTGTTTATATTGTACATACATATATTAACATGCATAATGTTTCCTATAACTGATAAGCTTTCATAAATCAAATTGTGAAGTAATGAGTGATAAATTACTTCTGGTCATAATGTTGGGTTGTACTGTAATACTTTAAGGTGTGGGGGAGGAGTATTGTTGAGTGTACCTTGAGTACTGTGTTATATTGCACGTGTGATGCTCGGCCAGTGGGTGTTAACACGACTTTGCTGCACTAATGAAGAAAATGTCATCCAAAGTTGCAAGTATATTTTTACCAGTTGTAAAGGTATAAATAATAATTATAATATTAAAGAAGCAATCCTTGGGTTGTATATTGCCAGCGTATCGAGTATTCTATACTTGCGTGTTGCAATTACTTTTTGAAAGTGTATACTGTACTTTATATTCATTAATATTGATTTATATTTAGCTGTTGATTTGAAATGAACATAATTTTATTCCATGCATTTTGTTAAGGAGTACAGAGGCAATACTATGCAAAGGTATATGGAAGAAATAGTTTTTATTAAGATATTGCCAAGTATTATAAAGATTAATTAATACCTAATAAGCTCTAAATCTATTTTTCCTCAATAGTGGGTTATGAAGCATTAATTTTTTATATAACTTGTCAAGAACTTTCTTATAAAATAAACTCGCACCCTGATGATTAATATCTAGAGAGGTGTATTGCTCAGTAGAAAGTATAAATATACATTTTTTAATGAGTGCCAAGGCAAAAATGTTATTGTTATAGGGAAATAATACCTTGAAAGTTAAAACTATTGCAGTTACACAAGTTACACTGTCTCTCTCTCTCTCACAGTTTGGGTGGTTTGTCTCGTAAATTATCACACACACAGTTTGGGTTGCATGGTCTCTCCTATACTGTTAGTATTGTTGGTCAATAATGCAGCATCAAATACATCTGAAGCTAAATTTCTGCATGTGAAGACTTACAGCCTGCACAAAGTGGGAGATCATCTTTGATAGATGAATATTACTCTAGTGTAGGTTTTTCTTTTTTTCTTTTTTAATTACAACTAGGTCTACAGACATACTACTGTAATGAATATGCACAAATATATTCTTATAATAGATTTTTGTATGTCTAAGTGTTTTCTTCAAAATCTTCATTTCTTAAGGAAAGGAGGCTTAATAAAAATAAGATAGGCTTGTAGTGATTATTGGAAGTGTCGTCTATCTTAATCTATTATTAAAGGCTTGTCTATTCTCTTCTTACTGTATTTTGTCTTTATTTATACTCTAACTGAAGATGCTAAAAAGCTTTGTTTACAATGTAATATTTTCTTTACTTCCATTCTTATACTTGGACGGTGTCATGGTGTATTCAAGGGCTTTCTGACAATAAAAATTATTTTCATTTTACTAGGCTTTTGACTTATTTTATTAAGGTCTGTTGCATGTAATGTTACTTCTTAGGGGATGGCAACTTTGTTAAATGCAAAAAAAAAAAAATTAACATTTGGAGCAACATGAGCACTACACAGTAGGAGATTCTTCATTGTGATATGGTGTAAATACTTTAAAAAATGTAGCACTGTTAATATTTAATGTATAATTTAATTTTGGATCATAGCGTGCTAGAAGAATTACATAAAATCATTGATAATTTTTTTGACGACAAAAATCCGCTCATCTTTATAACATTGTGGCAATATATAGATAACTTTGCATCTCATTTCAAGCATTTTAAATGTATTATTATTTTTTTTTTTTTTTTTGTAATAATAAACATGGCTCATGTATTTAAAGATTTGTGAAAAGGAATATGACAACCATTAATGGAGGTTGTGTACTTACCAGCTAGTCATTTTGAGTCCATAGTATCGAACTCGCCGCCTTTTCTTTCCATGGTTCATTTTTAAGATGGAGTATGTATGCTAGAAATGCAACATTTGTTCTTATTATGGAGTTAAAGTAAAAAAATAATACAGTGTAAGTATTTTGCTCTTAAAGTCAATATATTCAACTGTTATAAATTTATTATCTTTAGATTATTAATGTTCATTATCAAGATACGTACTTACTTTTTTTTACTCGCATTTATTTCCAAAAAATTAATTCGCTCCCCCATTTGTTAAACCGTACATATTAGCATCTTGTCACCTTGTCCCAAGTCTGTCACCCAGTAATCGACAGAAGAGTGTGTTATACCATCTGAAAGGTTTCCCTTGTTTAAAGCAAAATGGCTGAAATAGAATTACTGTACCAAAATACTCCCACCATTCTCAAACATATTCTTTTGTGAAATTCTGCATTGTGCTTCAAATAATAAAGCTAAGCACAAAAAGTAGTGGAGAATTATGTCGGTAACTGTCAAGTAATGAAGTAGGAAAAAAATATCGATTTGGAGTGAAGTTCTGTATTAAGATGCGGCTTTCTTGTGATAAGTTTACAAATATTGACCCAGTCTATCTGCAAAAGTTGTATACTGTATATTTATTAAAGTACATTTATGCAAATATTTTGTTAAACATTTGTCTGTAAAGTCAGATATCTTATTCATATCCTCATTAACTTGACCCCAATTTTCAGTACTGGACTAGCTTGTATTATTGTCCTTTGTGAACTTGAAATATTTTCATCCAGCCCTTCTCACAGGTTTAATAATCCTTGGGATCCAGCATTGGATCACATGGCTAGTCATTCATACATGATAAAAAATCTGACCCCATTTGGTACTGTACATCACTTTGAAGTTTTACACAATATAATAAGAGAATTCATCCATTTCCTCATCTTTTATTTCACCAATAAATTGAAATAATAATAGTATGAAACAATATTTCAAATTTGTAATCATTTCAGAATTCTTGGTCTTTTAATATGTACATACATGGTCAAGTATTTATTACATTTTATCATGACACTTAGATTATTCATATATTATATTATTAAAATATCCAAGTCAGACATTGTTTATATGTAATGAAAGTTTCAATTTTTCAAGCATACAGTATTTTATTTGTCAAACTGTGCAAATAATGTATTTCAAAATGTGGGAACTTTCAAACTTTTGCAACATTTTTATCCATCTAAATTAGTATTTTGCACAAAATTATGCTTTACAATACATGCTATACTATGTGCACTATAAAGGCTTGCCAACAATGGTTCTGAGGAACAGTGCATATTATTGAATGAACTTGGTATTCGTAAGGATTCAACTGTTACTAATAATTGTTCTAAAGAGACTAATTGTATTAATTTTAAACTACATAATGAAAGGCTGTGTTAATCGTTTCGTCTGGTAGTTTGTCACCCGTTATACCTGTATACTTTAAGGGAGGAGGTTGAAGAGGGAGAGCTCCTTGCTGCCAAAATTGTTCTTCACTATAGATAATACTTATGTTTTTCTATTTCCAAATTGCCATCTTAAATGTTATACAAATAATTTTGATTTTGTAGTAAATTGACGTATGACATAGCTATACTGGCTTAGCACATGCTTTTGCTAATTTCTTATTTTTCAAGAAGGGGGTTTTAAGTTACAGTAATATTGGCAGCGAGGCAATAAATAAGTTTTGTTAAATGTGATGCGATACATTTTGACAACTCTGAGGTTTCAAGTCCTGTCCAGTGAAAATATTGTGTGATTACAGTACAGTAGTAACTACTGTGAGGCTTTGTGCAGTTATTCCCTACATTAGAGATGAAATATGATTTGAATAGACAAATGTTTGCCTTTTAATATAGTTGACTATTGCAACCATGCTCTTCGTGAACATGACCTGCATCCTAGTACTTAATGTACATTGATAAACAAGTGTTGAATAATCACATTGAGTATAAGTGAATCCATCAAGTTACAATTTTCAATCCTTGGTTATTACTGTTAAAAGATCCCATCATTGTTGAAAAGCTCGAGCTGTATCTCTGATAAAGTATATATATATAAAGCAGTAATTTACAATGGTAAATAAGAAATAAAGTATGGTTTTCTGCATACTGTGAGCATAGTAAACAGTAGTTGTCTGCTGTTGTGTGTGGAGGGAGAGGCAGTGTTCTCAACACCTTTTGCTCTTGTATATACCACACTACCTCCAAACATTAATTTACTAAATTCATTTTCTGTAAACACTTTTTTTCAAATTTGAGTGTTGAGGTAGCGGAGTCACATTGACAGCACCTTGAAGTGTTGAAATGAAGACTTGCTATTACACGAATTACACTGAATTTTCATTTTTTTTTTTTTTTTTTTTTTTTTCTCTCCAAATAATTGAGAATTGTTCCATTAGGGGAATGGTAATGTTAATTGTCAAGAAAATATATAGTTTTATGTTTTAGTACTGTACAGTATGTAATGTAATGACGACTTGGTGACGTATACTTCGAAGGTGATAAAAGATGCCAACACATCTTCACATTTGTGCTTACTGTAGTTAAGAGTACACATGGCAGAGTTCATTTTGTAAAATTTAAATTTAATAAACGATGGGAAATGTCAAAAGGGTATGAAATAACCAAACACCTTTAGCAGTTTGAGATTTGTTTAATAATGATTTACCACTAAATATACTTTGTGATATGCACATAAGGATTCACTAAAAGTGTGAGGTGAGTTGGGTGTGCACAGGTGCAGTAGTGTGTTATGCAAGTATTGACCAATTTGTTTGTGTATATATATGTTAAGAAGTGGTGTATATAATGATTATATATAATGTTTTGTATTTCAGGGAAGTTTAATAAATGTGAACTGAAGACTAACTATATAATTTCCTAAAATTCTATACAGTACTTTTTTAATAAAGCTTGAGCTTTTAGGAAGTGATCACAGAATCTTGGCAAATTGTGTAATAATGGATCGAATAAACCAGTGTAGTAGCATGACAAATATACTGTACAGGAGTTGTATAGATTCCATGTGAGCAAACATGTATGTAGTCATTTATCAAGATATACACCCTCCTGAGTGTCACCTTGTTGTGGTGCGGAGGGGAGATAATGTACAACTCCCTGGGGCTGGTGAGGGGGTTGCCTTGGCTCCTTCTCGAAGAGTTATCTACTAAGGTAAACACCAGTAGGGATCTTGTTCAGATAAACGAACCACCTGCTGCAACCCGTTCTCGCAAATTCGTAAAGTCAATATTGACTTATTAACTACGTGCATAGGTGATATACTAAACATAATAGATACCCTTAAAAAGATTCATAGAAAACACCAACCTTACCTAACCTTGTTAGTATCTTAAGGTAAGCATCTTATTGCTTCGTAATTACAATTATTACTTAACCTATACCTATTATAGGTTAGGTAATAATTGTAATTACGAAGCAATAAGATGCTTATCTTAACATACTAAGTAGGTTAGGTAAGGTCGGTGTTTTCCATGAATCTTTTAAAGGGTATCTATTATGTTAAGTATGTCACCTATGCACATATTTAATAAGTCAATATTGACTTATTAAATTTGCGAGAACGGGTTGCCTGCTGAAGGGGCTGCCCTTAGTGGATAGTTGGGTGTCCAGGCTGGAGCGAAAGTGAGAAAGAGGTCTTTGCACCAGTGTTGGAGAATAAATGATGCAGTAAGTCTCGCCCATTAAAAAGGGGGCACCTCTTGGGACAACGCACTCCTTCCTGCATTGGCCAGGCCTCCCTAGCTGCCCTGGTAGGTGGTATCCCGTGGCTCAAAAACCCAGACTTTTGAAGTTAACGCTGTATAGACACCAAACTGACTTCATACAAAGGCTCATGAGGTGGGCAACCAGGCCCCTGAGTTGGCTGGTGATGCAAGATTGGGCCCCATGATCCCTGCTACATTGGCCCAGACAAAATTTCCTTTGACTCATTACTGACCCTCTGTTTCCCTCCCATTTTCATGGCAGGATGGCAGGGTTGAGCCCCAGGCCCCCAGTGGTGTCCTGTGCCTTTTAGCCCCCCTCCCCCTCATACTGGGGAAGCTCGGTATCTTAACCCCTGCACTCGAACACACACGATTCCTCCCAACTCATTTTCGTTTCAAGATTAGTTTGGTCCTGCCAAGTGGACTAAGTATTTTGATCTCAAATAAATCATACATGCCCTGATTTTCTCATCCATAAACACCTGGTTGATTCAGTTGATGTCCATGTCACTTTTAACCTTCCTCAGGCTGGACCACGTGTAGTTGCAGCCCCTTTACAGGAGGCAGCAGGACCCCATCTAACTTCGGGTGTGGTCAAAATAACTCCGTCAATTTGGTCAGCCCGTCCTCATGAACAAAGGCCAAAGTCCTTTCCATGCACCTACCAAACTCGCTGTTTGTGAATGGGGAAAGTCGTGGGCTGCTCATCAGGTTGGCCAGGGTCATTGGTGCCCTCGCTTTCATAGAGCGTACGTACGGTTCAGGAGTTTGCGGCAATGTGAAAGGTGCTGTGGATCACCCTCCGGTGATCCGCAGCAGGCAGTGAGAGTATGAAGTGTCATGGCATTCTTTCCACTACTTCCTGTTCCTTCATGGTTGTTTTTCAGTCTTCGAGCGTGTTCTGTCTTTTCTTTTTGCTTTTTCTTGATTCAGCATCTTCTGTCAAATACTGTCACCTCTTATTGTGCTGCATTGGTGGAGCCAGCCAGGGTGGATACCTTTTCTACCCTGTTAAGCAATTTTTTATTATCAGGAGAAAGTGCCAAGCCACTATGCCTTTATAGCACAATTCCCCACAATTCATTTCGCTAAGCAAGTTAAAATCTTGAGCTAGTTTAAAAATTCAGTACAAGTCGTCACATCATCAATGGGTTTGAGATAGACCACAAGTAGTTTCTAAATTAAGCAACTAACATATGTGGAGAGTTAGTATCACAATTGATATGTTTGTCCTGCACACCGCCCCCCCATCCAGTGGGCAGCGGTGGATAGGTTACAATCACTTAGTTACTACCCACAGTTAGCAAACTGGGGGTATTTGGCTAAGAATTCTGGTAGCAGATCATTTTGAATGAAATATTTACACATCTCTGGAACATTTGTTATAGAATTACCTCTGAATTGGTGGGCTCCTGGTGTGCCCTCAGCTGTGGTGGGCGGCTGGCTTCTGCTCTGCCTGAGGACACTGGATGACTTTTGAGTTTTAGTTGGGGGCCGAGTTTTTGGTTTTGCTACCCAGTGTTGTCTGTGTGGGGGCGGGGCTGGTGCTTGTCACCCTGAGGGACTCCTGGGCCTCTCCAATCACCTGCCTGTCTGCGTTTCTTCGCCACATGGCATATTAGCTTCCAGTGCTTTTCGTCACCTGTTTCGCAATTTGGCTTGGTGTTTCACCTTTCCGGGCTTCGCGATTAACCCTTTACGGGCTAATCGCGTAGTCACAAGCCCATGTGATTTTGTCCCATGTGAATGTCCTTCACATGGGACAAAATCTTATTGAAGCGACGATACGAGGCACAAATATTCATACTAAGCCCAAGTAAAACAGAAACAAGCAACACTTAGTGGGCCAGCCAGGGGCTTAGGCCAGCGCAGGAATTTCCCCTGCAAAAAAAAAAGTGATTTCAGACCAAATGGTATGAGGTACTTTGAGCTCTGTAATTATTTCATACACTCAGTAATATTGGAAGATATACTTATGCTGTATCCTGCTTTTGCTAGTGGAGGCTAATAGATCAGCCTTTTACATTTTATGTTCTCACCTGAATTTTAATTGCATTTGATTTGTTTTTGTATTAAGGCTGGTGTTTTTCCCCTGATTCCATGTATGACTAACCATCTTGTGAGACGGGAATGTTAGTTGAACCTATAGCTAGTTTTTTATATGCGTTGTGTAATATCCCATATAGAATAGGATAGCAGCACATTGAAATAAGACAGTGATGTGTATACCTAATTTTGTTAATTAAATAAAGTATACGTTTGTTAATAAAAAAATTATTATTCAAAAAAATCAAAATGTTTATTCAGGTAAAAGTACATCCATTGAAGATGAGTTACAAACATAATGTTGGATTTATAGATAGAGCAAGTACATACAATACCTCCCTGAAAAAAAAAAAAAAAAATAACAAAAATAAAGCCACCAATACGCATAGTGTTTCGGGCAAGGTGCGGGGAAAAAACACTTAACTAATACAAGCTTAATATAGCTTAACCGCAGACTTATCAAATTGTGTTGAAAAAGGAAAAAATTGTGGGGGGGGGGGAGAACATGGCAGAAACCGGCAATTATACAATTTGGTCAATTCAATTCAATTTCTTTCTTTATTATGCACCCCATACCCATCCCGTGGGCGGTGGTGTAAAGGATTACAGAGGCACATAATCGGTTGAGGAACTGAACCCTCTAGTTCGTTTAGCTAAGCAAATAACAATCTTTTGACGCTAGTTACAAAATTATTAATGTTATATATACATGTACACATTCTCATATATACATGTACATATATATATACGTATACATATATATATATATGTATACATATATACATACACATACATATCTAATCACCCACACAAATACACACATCAATAATCTTTGTGTCACAAGTGATCAACAAGAGGCTCACAACAGTCACTATACAAGACACTTTACATCTATGGTGAGTCACACAGTTACTAGTCTTGCTGCACACCCACCCAACTGGACGGCAGCTTTACAGTCATGTGCAGGCTGCACCTACAGTAAGCAAATTTTGGATACTTCGCTAAGATTTCGGGCAGTACATCATTATGAATGAAGTACTTATACATTTCTTGGACACTATTGATGGTGTTATGTCTAAATTCCGCGATTTTTTCACATTCCATTATATAATGACGCAAAGTATGCGAATAGTTCTGCTGACAGAGTTTACATTTAGTCAAATCTACATCAACAGATGTTACAAACTCCCAGAGGTACTTGTAGCCGAGCCTAAACCTAGCAGTGGTAACATCTAGAAGTCTGCTAACATTATTGGATTACCCATAGACGTGCGGCTCTTCCTGCATAATAGAATGATGTTAGATGGACTAACTAACTGTACCTCTCTCAACCAGTTTAAGATAAAAACGAAGCACTACCTAATAAATTCCATGTAACCTACCTTACCCCTCTGTTGTCAACCCATGTCTGTTTTTTTTAAATAACGCTATTTGAATGTAATTGTCTGTAATAATTTGTAATTGTATTTGTGCTGCTTTTTCAGCCATGTTCCCCCCCTCTTTTACCTCTATTTTTATTTGTTCTCAACACATTTTATTCTTTATACCCATTAGTATTAAGCTTTAGTCATTATTGTTTTTCCTGCCCGAAACGCTTTGCGTAATAGTGGCTTTAGGCATTGTATGTACTAGCTCTATCTATTAATGCAACAAACTTTGTAAAATCTCTTGTATGTATGTACCTTACCTAAATAAACATTTATTTATTATTTATTTATTTATAACTGGTGTAAATTTCACTTTGCCTCAAGTCTTCGAAATTTAGTTGATGTTCCTGGGATATTGCTGCCTTCAGGCTGCTCAAAGGCAGTCCAAGTTGGTAATCAATTCCCTCTTTACGAGCAACAGTCTTGGCCAACTCATCAGTTCTATCATGCATTCGGAGACCAATATGGGAAGGAATCCACAGGAGATAAACTCTGACTCCATCACTGATTATTTCATTATATATCTGTGTCTAGCTTCAGAGATGAGCACGTCACAGTTATACCTTAGAGAGCTGAGGGCAGTCAAGGATGACAAGGAGTCACTTACAATTAGCGTGTCAACTTTGGATTCATATACGCGCTCGAGTGCAAGGATTATGGCAACCAATTCTGTCTGAAGAGTAGAGGCCCAGTTACTGAGACGCGCTCCACACTCATGGGAGAAGGAACCATCTCTCCCTGACAACAAACAGTATTGTTTGAACATAGCAAGACATGGGTTGACATTTAGGTGGTAAGAGAGGTTACATGGAGTTTATTAGGTAGTACTTAGTTTTTCTCTATACTGTAGATTATAACTTGCTTAACTAAATGAATTGTGGGGTTCAGTCCCTGAGCCCATTATGTTCCTCTGTAACCCTTTCCACTACTGCCCCCAAGATGGGTATGGGTACTATGGGGTGCATAATAAATGAACTAAACTAACTATACTGGTGGTGATTATATTTTTTATATTTATATTTATCTGCCCGAAACGCTTTGCGTAACAGGGGCTTTAGGCATTGTATGTACTAGCTCTATCTATAAATCCATCAACTTTTGTATATGTATGTACCTTACCTGAATAAAAAATTATTTATTATTTATTATTATTTATTTATTATTATTATTATTATTATTTATTATTATTATTTATTATTATTATTATTATTATTATTATTATTATTATTATTATTATTTATTTATTTATTTATTATTCGGAAGGAGACATTGGACGAAGTAGAGGTAGGCTCGTACTCCCTTCTCTACTCAGCTGTTCCTCCGCTCATTGTTTACAAGCTTTGTAATTTGATCTTAAGTTCAAGATTTGCAGCTTGAAGCCATGACACACAGGTGAGTCTGGTTTGGAGTGAAGCAAGAGTTCCTTCACATGCGAGGTGAGTGTGACTGGGAGTGAGCCGGGCGTTGCCTCACACTCCAGGTGAGTGTGACTGGGAGTGAGACTGGCGTTGCCTCACACTCCAGGTGAGTGTGACTGGGAGTGAGGCTGGCGTTGCCTCACACTCAAGGGCTGATGTTTATCTAACGGAATACACATTCATTGGAGGATTTTCAATGAATTTTGCCAGGAAACCAGCATATGTCCCCCAACACTGGTGGTCCACCTCAGGCTTATGCCCCCCCCCCCCCCCGATACTGGTGGTCCTCCTCAGGCTTATGTCCCCCCCCCCAATACTGGTGGTCCACCTCAGGCTTATGTCCCCCCCCCCAATACTGGTGGTCCACCTCAGGCTTATGTCCCCCCCCCCAATACTGGTGGTCCACCTCAGGCTTATGTCCCCCCCCCCAATACTGGTGGTCCACCTCAGGCTTATGTCTTCCCCTCCCCAATACTCGTGGTTCACCTCAGGCTAATGTCCCCCCAATTCTAAACTCTGGTGGTCTATCCCAGGCTAATGTTCTCCTAACAGCAAATCCTCAAGGAGACATCGTAACGACTTGAGGTGCGCACAGCGTCTCCTAAAAACATTCAAGAATCCTCTGAGGGTTTTAAGAAACCACTGTTACATGGCACACATTTGGATCATGACCGTCACCTGGTCTTGGAGGAGGATCCAGAGGGAGTTTTCCAGGACAGTAAGCATCACAGTAAGGCAAACAGATTAGAGGTGCAATGCCGTCATCATACAGAGGTAAACAGAGACCATCCCAGCCCCACGCAGCCTGAGTATCAACATCCACAACTCGACCAAGGTAGGACAAGTTCTCCTGTGCAGGCGATGAGTCATAGTAACGTGGCTAAAGTATGTTGACCAGACCACACACTAGAAGGTGAAGGGACGACAACGTTTCGGTCCGTCGTCGGTTTTGGTCCACAATTGACTTGAGAATGGTCCAGGACGGACCGAAACGTCGTCGTCCCTTCACCTTCTAGTGTGTGGTCTGGTCAACAAGTTCTCCTGGTTTTCAAACTTTCCTTAGTGCCTTTGATGATGAAGATAGGAGTGTTTTTGGAAATATCAGGGCACAAAGTATCCTTTTTAATGCCATTCCCAAGATATTTGATATTTACTGACATCTGTGGATACAAAGTCAAATGCTACCAACCATTAGGGGACCAATTAGTGAAATATGTAGCCCAACATGTAGACATTAGGACAGACGACATCAAGGCACAACTTCAGGCAGATGACATTACAATCGTCGGAGTAAAAAAATTTATGCGTAAAACAAACGGAGAACTGAGTGATACAGACACTGCCCTGCTTGCTTTTCTAGACTACTTTCCCCCTGATTGGGTTTGGATTAACGGCTTCCTCCGTAAACTAGAGGTGTACGTACCACTCAGTGCTTCAGATGTAAAGGTTTTAACCATATTTCGAAAGGTTGCACCAAAGACATTAAATGTGGGAAATGCTCTGGTTTCCATTACACACAAGACTGTGTGTCAGATAAACTCACCTGCTCGAACTGTGTTGTCAATCATAACATTACATTCAAACAATGTCCTTCATACATAGCAAAAACTAAGGTTTCCCCTACCAACAACCTAACTCAGTCCATCATCAACTGCTACCTCACACTCAACCACAACCTTTGCTTGTACCTGAAATGTCTGTATCTGACAATCCTGCACCCCAAGAGTCCAATCCTCTCCCACATAATGTACAACTTAGTCTCGATCTTGTTGAAACTCTTGTTACTTGCATTGAAAATGTACTAGAAAAGCTGCTGGTCAGACTTCTAACTAAATTTTTTACACAAGTAAATTAATTAATTCATCCCTGAGGCTGATCCAACAGTCACCCCATTGACATCTACAGACAATGACATGTGCCCTAACACAGCTATCATTGCTGGAAACATGTTGTTTGAACTGATGCTGGAAAACCTCCTAAATGACTTTGTAGTATGCCTAACCTAAGTCACTCCCCAGGCTAACTTGCCACAAACTCCAACCACCAGCATCAAGAGTAAGATACCCCCAGCTGTACAAACCTCCCAATGACCTAGCACTTTGACTGAAAAAACACATAAACCACACACTCCTGAGACACATCCTCCATCCACTCCCAGATATTCAACATGGTGTACTACTGGCACGTCAAAGAAGACCGATGTAATCGCATCCCAGACGTAAAAATCCAAAATACGACAACGTAACAACCTATCTTCAACCAACCTACCCCAATCTAATGTAACCTTATACACATTAACCTTATGTTACTTTATGTATTCTAACTTACTCTACCATAATCTACCCTAACCTATCTGAATTGCGACTAACTCCCAAACATACTTCGACACTCAATCTCAGTCTCTTGACTAAACCATATATTTTTTATAAAACAGCAACACTTTGATACCACCATTAACACAACTCCTTATCTTTGCCATCCTGAGTACATTTCCACTCAAATGCATATTTTCTCATTATCCTCACACAAATAGAAGCCATCGATAACTGCCAATCTCTGCCAAATTATGAACATTGATGCGCCACTGTGAGTGGTGCATCTTTCAACATCACTTTTGCAGTCATTTGGAAGAAAAACCTTCATACAAACTGCATGTATCACGAAGTAGTAGTAGTCCTCCCAACACTGGAGGTCCACCCCAGGCTAATGTGCCCCAACACTGGTGGTCCACCCCAGGCTAATGTACCCCCCAACACTGGTGGTCCACCCCAGGTTAATGTACCCCCCAACACTGGTGGTCCACCCCAGGTTAATGTGACCCCAACACTGGTGGTCCACCCCAGGCTAATGTACCCCCCAACACTGGTGGTCCACCCCAGGTTAATGTACCCCCCAACACTGGTGGTCCACCCCAGGTTAATGTGACCCCAACACTGGTGGTCCACCCCAGGTTAATGTGACCCCAACACTGGTGGTCCACCCCAGGCTAATGTGCCCCCCAACACTAGTGGTCCACCCCAGGCTAATGTGCCCCCAACACTGGTGGTCCACCCCAGGCTAATGTTCCCCCAACACTGGTGGTCCATCTCAAGCTAATGTGACCCCAACACTGGTGGTCCATCTCATGCTAATGTACCTGACAGGGCGCCTGACAACTGAGTGGACAGCGCTTCGGATTCGTAATCCTGAGGTTCCGGGTTCGATCCCCGGTGGAGGAGGAGACAAATGGACAAAATGTTTCTTTCACCCTGATGCCCCTGTTACCTAGCAGTAAATAGGTACCTGGGAGTTAGATAGCTGTTACGGGCTGCTTTCTGGGGATGGAGGCCTGGTCGAGGACCGGGCCGCAGGGACACTAAACCCCGAAATCATCTCAAGATAACCTCAAGAAGATACTCCCAACACTGGTGGTCTACCCCAGGTTAATGTACCCCCAACACTGGTGGTCCACCCCAGGTTAATGTACCCCAAACACTGGTGGTCCATCTCAAACTAATGTGACCCCAACACTGGTGGTCCATCTCAAACTAATGTGACCCCCAACACTGGTGGTCCATCTCAAACTAATGTGACCCCCAACACTGGTGGGCCATCTCAGGCTAATATGACCCCAACACTGGTGGTCCACCCCAGGCTAATGTACAACCAACACCGGTGGTCCATCTCAGGCTAATGTACCCCCAACAATGGTGGTCCACCCCAGGTTAATGTACCCCCAACACTGGTGGTCCACCCCAGGTTAATGTACCCCCAACACTGGTGGTCCACCCCAGGTTAATGTACCCCCAACACTGGTGGTCCACCCCAGGTTAATGTACCCCCAACACTGGTGGTCCACCCCAGGTTAATGTACCCCCAACACTGGTGGTCCACTCCAGGTTAATGTACCCCCAACACTGGTGGTCCACTCCAGGTTAATGTACCCCCAACACTGGTGGTCCACTCCAGGTTAATGTATCCCCAACACTGGTGGTCCACCCCAGGTTAATGTGCCCTCAACACTGGTGGTCCACCCCAGGTTAATGTACCCCCAACACTGGTGGTCCACCCCAGGTTAATGTGCCCTCAACACTGGTGGTCCACCCCAGGTTAATGTGCCCTCAACACTGGTGGTCCACCCCAGGTTAATATACCCCCAACACTGGTGGTCCACCCCAGGTTAATGTGCCCCCAACACTGGTGGTCCACCCCAGGTTAATATACCCCCAACACTGGTGGTCCACCCCAGGTTAATGTACCCCCAACACTGGTGGTCCACCCCAGGTTAATGTGCCCCAACACTGGTGGTCCACCTCAGGTTAATGTGCCCCCAAAACTAGTGGTCCACCCCAGGCTAATGTGCCCCCAACAAGGTGGCCCACCTCAGGCTAATGTACCCACAGTACTGGTGGTCCACCTCAGGCTAATGTCCACACAACACTGGTGGTCCACCCCAGGCTAATGTCATCCCAACACCGGCGGTGAAAATGTTCCGAGTCATAATGGAATCTGACCTGTCAGTCAGTCATTTTAATCAAAGTGTAGGATTCCAAAAATGTGCAACCGTGTTGGAACAGAAGTGTCCGAAGAAAATTGTTGAAAACATCTTGATAAGTTGATAAACATTAATTATACATGTCTCGAGAATTAGTAAAATACTGTACAGTATAATCTATATGTAGAGCCTCTACCAGAAAAATATTTTTAGTAAAACAAAGATATACAGTGGTACTGTACCTCAGTTTTCGTAGTTAATCCGTTCCTAAAGACGTTACGAGAACCAAAAATTACGAAAACCTAAACAAATTTTCCCATACGAATTAATGTAAATTGAATTAATTCGTTTCACACCCCCAAAAGTATTAACTTAAAAATACATTTTATACAGAATACAGTGGAACCTGGATTGACGAATTTAATTCGTTCCGGCACTTAGCTCGTTATGTGAAACGCTCGTCTTTCAAAACAAATTTCCCCATTTAAAATAATGGAAATTAAATTAATCCGTTTTACCACCAAAAAATATCAATATGATATTCGATGTTTTAAATAAAGGAGCAGCCTACCTTACATACACTGAACAAACCTTTATGACTTTTTCTTTCTTCAAATTTGTTCAATTTTTTTTAATTTTTTGTATAGCAAAAGGTTTGTTTGGTGTTTGTCAGGTAGGCTGCTCCATGTTAAAAAAAAAAAAAACGAAAACAAAACAGTTGAAACAATTTGAAAAACAGACAAATGCCATATAGGTTCGTTCAGTGTTTGTCGGGTAGGCTGCTCCATTATGACAGTCTGTTTCAATTGTGTTCCATTTGCTTTGTATTTTTAATTTATTTCTCAATAATGGAGCAGCCTACCCGACAAACACCGAACGAACCTTTTTGACATTTGTTCTTGTTTTTTTTTTTTAAATTTCATTTCTTTTTTCTACAAAAAAGTCGATGCTTTGCAACATCACAGCAGTCACCCCTTTACATCCCAGCATCATTAGCATCTTTAACCCTTAAACTGCACTATACATATATAGATGATTTCAGTAACAAAACAGAAACCGCGCAATACATTAATAGCTGTTTTCGTGTCTAGCGCTATAATTTAAATGCCCCGCGTGGGGTAAGGGTAGTCATTGGCGAGCCGCACCCGACCATAAACAAACGCCACCTGGGAAAAAAATCCCACGTAGGCCGCCATTGTGTAGAGGCCTCGGTTACCCGGCGGACACCATGTCGAGCGCATCAAGTTCCAATGACCGACCCCGCTCAACGAGGCATTCCTCGCGACCTCTGACCGAAGACGAAATTAATAAGAATTTGTTCCTGATGAATCTGATATTGACAACTCGGACTTTGATCATGA